TAATATCTGGAATTACTGGAATAGGTCGGTTCAGAAAGAACGATACAATTTTTTTTTATATTGATATTTTTAATACGGAAACAAAATCAACGGGCTGCTAGCTATTTATAATTACATACATCCATTAAATTTTACAATTATGCCATATCCAATTGTAGTGATAAATTAAATAAACCTTTCTAGTTACCAAAGTTTTTTCTCAATATCGATGAGTAAAAAAGAAGAGTAAAATTAAGAATTTATACCCGGAAATGAAAGCATAACGATATATTAATAAAGATTATAAGATAGCAATTGAACACAAAAACTGGAACTGTCATTTAAGATTATGTTTGATACCTACTTATTTATCATAATATTTTTTCATCCCGCAATCATTACTATACAAATACCTGTTATGTATTTAAAACCACTATTGATAATGATAAAAACAAGAAAGAGGCCCACCTAATGGAAAGTGGTAACCTCTGACTATAAACGTGAACAGCACTATGTGTATACCATAGACAAAATAAAACTATATAATATTATTATCAACATACTAGATTTTTTCCACTTATTCGATAACATAAGTAAATAATGTATCTACAGATTACTAAATAATAATTATGATTGAATTTCGATTTATAATTACGATGATGAGAATAAAGATGACCTACAAGACCCAGTAGCAGATACCTTGTTTTGCAGAAAGTATGTTTCAAGATCAATTCTTAATTGGTCCAATTTGTTAAACGAACATTTCTAATTTATCTCGGTTCTGGGTGGTTCTAAGTTACATATGGACACCATAGATTGAAGATTAGATAATTAATGAAAATTTTCAATACAAAAGTAATAAAAAAATAAAACATGTGCCATATAATACCAATGTTCAATTGGCCTATATTTTTGTGTATGTTACATGATACTATCGCCAACTCTAAACCGATTTTGATAACTTTTTCAGTCTTGATTGATTGTTTTTTGCAGAAAAAGCTTCTTTTATAATTAACAATATTTAGGTACTTATAGTTAACAGGACAAATCATTACATAGCAAAATAGATGTCATTAGTTAGATAGCATAACTAAAATATTAAATCTAGCTATTTTTAATAAATGTGTCTACATAATAGCCGAACTTCAATACAATTTCTACCAAAGAATATATCAGTCAAATTCATGAGGCTGTCATGAATTTAACAACCTGTTTAATTCTTAAAACTGGTATCTTATGATAAAAACAGCTATAAAAGTAGAGTATTCGTGACAAAGATATGAGATAATACAAACAGAACCGTTTCGTTCCGTTATGGGTGATAAATTAAGATTATTTTGCTAAAAGCACACAAAAAGAGAATAATAATTTAACCTATGGCTTCTATAATAATAATATTTCCCTGCATCCGCTGTCACAATAAATGTGATTTGTTAATGTTTATTATCATGTTACATAACATTAAGTCTGGTCATCGGTCGTCGCGTACCTTCTCGTATGCTACGTGCGGTGCGTAAAATTGTTTGACATGCACTTGTGACGTGCGGGATGCGCAAACGCATCACAATGAACGCAAGATTTTTTGCATACGAAAATGAAATTTGTATTTCAGATTTATAATTTGAATAATTTCAATTTAAAAAAATATCCAAATAAGTATTTTATTTCTATATATTGTGTTAATGGTCAAGGAAAGGGCAGTGGCGTCCCTCTTAAAACACTACCAAAGCCTGCGGTGTCCAGCCTGGCTACCAAGCGTGGCAACTACTGGCAAACCCCCCAAAGTAAGGGTAGGCCTATGTTCAGCAGAGCTCAGTTAACGGCTGATATGATGATATTATCATTAACTAAACTAATAGGCATGAGGCATAGTACTCATATGTATATCTAAATAGTTTTATGAAACAAGCTGTCCACATAACCACAAATAATAACAAGAACAGCACCTTTTTTTTAATGGATCATAATGAAATGCTAACCTCGCCTGCGCTATCGGTATACACTAGCTGGGCACCAGTGAGGGATAATAGATGAGCACGACAGTAGGTCTATTAGCGCATCATGACGAATGCAATAAGTATTAGTCACAATGGTTTTCAGAGAGAACTGCGTGAAGGTCGACCTGACAGGGCTTGCTAGCAATGGGGCCATTAGTCCTCACTACTAACAATCCCTTTCCCCCCGAGAACAGTACCTTGTGAAGCTCATTAGCTTCATAATTTTAATGCCATATCTAATCGAAACAGCCATGCAAGCATAGCTATTTAGCGACTGTGGGACACAAATGAGACAGCAAACAATCATGCAACCGACTGTTGATTCCCTCTAGCCTATATTACTCACAAGCCTAGCTTATCAAAAACATTTATTTCAAACTGAATTCGAAATTTATGCGAAACGACATAAAAAAGACATAGACAAATAACTTTTCTTTTTTTAAAACGAATTAAAATGTTGCTTAGTAAAAAATAACAGAAACAGCCAATTAACATAAAAAATGTTAGCATTTACTAAAGTCCTAAAAAGGTTTGAATTATAAGTACTTAAAACGTAAACTTTCCGATTTCCTTATTGACCACCAATTGATTTATGTTTATATTCCTTTTCCCAATGTCAGTATTGTGACGATGTTTAATTGATTGCAAGTTTATGGGATAATTTAATGTTTGAAGCCAACTTTATGATGGTAGAGGAGCGACATTGCACCAGCAAGATTCACATTTAATGTTATAATGCATCCCTCGCTAGTAGGAAACTGACAGACCTTCCGGCATATCATATCTTATGCTATAAAAGCTGATTGCTTCAATCACGGTCTAACACTAATGATACTAATGAAAAGCAAACGCGCACTCGCGCCTCAACTCATTACCTATAACTATCTACCCACATACTCTACATTCCCGTCTTAAGTATGTTTTGCGTCAGGAATGAAATACCCGTTTAAAAAAAGAATAGATGTTACAACCAAGTTAAAAAAAAATTCTCCTGTGCCTAAGCACCTGTCAAGTAAGATTTTTTTTACTTTACTAAACACACTTTTAAATTTTAATACAAATTTTAAACTTAAAAAGTAAGTCATTGTTAAAATTTGTTTACTACCATTGCTTTCGTTTACATTGCAATTATTCAACTTCAAAGATTTTAATTAGCTATAGAGATATATACAATATCTTACATAATTTTTAAACAAATAAACAGTCTTCAATGTTAAAATAATTAATGCAATATCAACTCTGTCAATTAAAAAGAAGCCATCATAATCGATTGTGATTTGGCAAAGATTATGGCATTGCATACACACACCAAAATAGATTTGAATAGAGAACATTCTCTTTAAGAAGTCAGTTTTTTATGCAACTTAGAATGGCAAACAAGCTGAAGACCTACCTGATGGAAAGTGGTAACCGTCGCCTATAGACATGAACAGTATCATGGACATAACAGAATATATTGTTTCACCCATGAAACCCCCATGCGTTGCCATTCCTGAGGACACAGGTGGTATTCCTCTGTACCCTGTAAATTCATGCAATTAATAATAAACATCACATCAAACAAACAATATTTTTTTCACGGAAATTAACAATTATAATAATTATGGTAAGACAAGTATAGTTTAAATACCATCAATCAGTATAATGTTATTCTCCTAGATGACATTTAAGGAACAATGCACATCTAGCTCCTCATTAGATGAAGTTACCTTATCTCTGTGACATCGGATAAACCAATGTGCAGTAGGTATCTCAGAAGGTAGCTGCGTCACGAATACTTAAAAGTGACTAAGAATTCGTGACGCAGATGTGACCTTTTAATGTTTTTATCGTCATACGTAATTAACAGTAATTGTGACACTACAAATGAAAATCTACCCTGCACAAATGGAAATCCCCTTTAACATATACCTAGAGATAAAGAGATTTCTGTGTCAACAGACAGTTACGTATTATTCATCATTCTTCGTATTAGCATAGTCTGCCTAGAGTTATTGGATCAACGTAATTTATTGTTCTATTACAATTCTCGACATACACTACACTACCTGTGCAATATCCCTTACGGTATAGATAAACATGCTGAGCAGAGTGCTAAATGCCTGTCACCACCTCTTGCTTTATCCATTTTAATAAATCGTCTCGCGCCTACATATGTCCTACGCTTATATATTATATAGCATTCACAATTACACATGATCAATCAGATCATGATACGTCTGTCTTTTAGGCTTGTAAGTACTTGCTTTCTTCCACTTTCTTATTGTATTGTTGACAATGACATGGAAAAATATCCAATATATATTTAATAGCGATAAGATACGCCTATTAAAGAAACTCTATAGCGGCACTCACGCGTAGTTTTTATATTTACAAGTAAAGGTTCATACAAAGCGAACGTGCATACATCACGGAGGTATATATTGGTAAATAAGCCAGCGCCTAAAGCGAGATGCGCACGGTAAATAAGTATAACGGTGGTTTTACAACCTCGGCACCGGTGCACCTAGCCTCGCGGCCTCGCCTCGGAACATTGCCAATTCCCATTGCTCAGGTCTTAACATCGGAATTTCTCACTCGTACGACCGTAAATAGATTTTACTATTCATTATATTATAAAGAAACTCATTTAATAATGTAAGCTTCAAGTCCTTTGAAATCTTATTATGCGACTTAATAAACAACCTTTGCTTCATTGCCGCCCGTGGATTATCCTCTCGTCTATAAGTTTTCCACTATTCCACACCTATGTAACGATAATTCAATATACCGTGCACAATTACGACTATCAACAATTTTTACTGTCGAGGTTAACCTGACCTTCTTTATCAAAGCACTGTACAGTATTAGAATTTGATTAACTTAATTCATATTATATTATTAGGCAAGTCTTCATATGTCGTGTCACTAACGACATTCGCTATACAATCGTGGCGCAATTGCAATAGGCATAAATGGATAAACTTAATAATGTTAACGAACAGGGGAAGCAGGGTCTTGGAATAAACACTCGATGCATTTATAGTAATTCAATATTTATTAAAACGTCATGATTAAGACAAAAGTAACAGCATTGATTTATTTCAAAAATGAAAAATGAACATGTTATAATAATTGTTACTATTATAGTAGTCAATATTTAATATAATCTGTTTTATACATTTTTTACTTTTATATATAACGTAAAATAGTGTTATTGTATGTGTCAGATTCTTGATCTCGATTAATAATATAATTATCTATTTGTTATTTGTATTATTGGATTTCAAGATAATTTATATCTTAACAAGCTTGTATGAATCGTCCATTTGTACCAGCTCTAAAGCTGAAGTTTAGCACTATTTATCTATTGACATTATGAATATGAAATACATTTTTGTACTGCGACTATTTTATTAAACTAAATTTTTTTAACAAATATTTAAATTAATGGCAATTCATTTCCATTATAGAAGCATTTGTATAATTCTAAGTTAAAATACGCAACTCGTATCATTGTTTACATAAATTCTATATAAACTTGTATCAAAACATGAAGTGACCTTGTAACATGTAACAAGATCTAACACAATTTTGAAATGTGATAATCAACAAGATGTGATTTCCCAACATACGAAAGAGTCGTGAATACAATCACTAAATAGCCAATTCATAAATCTCAAAGTTATCAAAATATTATATTAATAAAGAATAGCATTCAATTCACACCAAGTAAATTTAACGAACTTGCTAACGGGACCGATGGCACGGGACATTTTACTGCGTTCATGCGACTTCATCGATAAAGTATAATTGCGATCAAAACTACGCGTCTAATTCATTATATATTCAATTTATTAAAATATCAATTACTGATTATTGTAGTGCTGCTTATTTCATTATGTAATGATTAATTTGCGTTATAAAGTCAGCTTTTGTAATTTATGTAGGAAATAGTTACCACACAACTGTACTTCATATCAAATAGGTAATACGTTATTTTGTTATTATTACCTAACTACAAAATAATAAAAAATATACATAACATGATATAAAAAAAAATAATTCATTAATATTAAATTTATGATTTATCTATTACCTTAAAATCAAATGAAAAAAAATAAGAAAAAAATAACAAAAATGAATTGCTCAGGAACACGAGGTTTGATCCTTAAGCACTTAACAAATTTATTTATATTTAGACTGTCTATTGGTGTATTAAAGTTTTACTTAATCTAGTCAATTCCTATACTAGAGTTATACGCGCCTTCGCATGTTGCTAGCTTGTATAGCTGGCAACCGAACGCTATTCGAATTATTTAAGCACTAATCTCTCCATAAAATTAAGTCACATTGCATTTCGTTTTAATGTTAAAGTATCCCAAATATGACCTGTAACGATTCCGGAAGAGTGCAATCGCTCGTGAATCAATTGTTTGCAGCAATTCTGTCGTCAAACACCACAGATGAGTTCTGAAATTAAGGTAAAATTTTAACACTTGACTAGGGAATACAAGGATTCTGCATTAAAAAAAAAAAACAATTGATTTTTAACTTTATTCTTCCGTTATTTACAAAATGAACAGTATCACATCCCAAAGGCTTACTGGTAGAGGATTTATTTGTTTTTTATAAAGCCCGCTTTCTGTACCACATTTTTTTTTTTTATACAACTTAGAATGGCAAACAAGCTGACGGCCCATCTGATGGAAAGTGGTAACCGTCGCCTATAGACATGAGCAGTACCATGGACATAACAGAGTATACTGTTTCGCCCATGATACCCCCCATGCGTTGCCATTCCTGAGGACTCAGGTGTTATTCCTCTGTACCCGGTAAATTCACGCCATATCCCACCCTTCAAACCGAAACACAGCCATGCAAACACAACTGCTTCACGGTTGAAACACGAATGGGACAGAGGTACCCAAGCAATGGACTTTTGTACAAAGTCTCCCTCTGGTTGAAACATATATTCATATAACCAATAAATTTCTTTAATAAAAACACAATTATTAGTGGTTCAATCTAATAATGTAGAGATATTCATTGAATATTTAATTATAACATAACATTCAATTATAATACGAGTACTAAGTACATAAAAACTACTTCTATAGACATTTACGACTATAAAATTTGCATTTAGTCTGAATAGGAACGAGAAAATTTATAATTATAATTACAAAGCTGTCATGACCTCAGCTAATCGATTTTGCATTGCCTTTGTCCCATTATTTAATGTTGGCACAGTATGTTTTCCTCTTCCACTGGCACCTACAGCCATCATACCTGAATTCAGTGAATACAATCTTTCACAAACAGTTCATCCATTTATTATTTGGTCGATCTTTACGTCCATCGACGTTCAAATTTTATATCTTTTTAAAATATTCATTACAAAATATAAAATCACCCTACCAACTGAATCATCAAAGTGGGTTCGAACGGATAACGAAAGCTTCTATTCTGTATGATTTTTTTAACGTATGAAAAGACCTGCTGAAAACAATTATATAAGTAAAATACCAACGTACCGTAACATTGTTGTCGGTCAGACCGGCCCAATGTATGAAGGAGGGCAGGTCGCGCGCCGGTAGCTCCGCCGCGAGCGCCTTCACACGGAGGTTGCGGTCGTCGGTCAGTAGAACCACTTCGCGTACACGCTTTACGAATTTCGACTCACTTCCGTCATCAACTCGTGTATCTATAAAAGACGTGTATGTATAATTAAGAGCGTTCATGCCAATGAGTAGCAACATCGAAAACACCTATCAATTTTCAAAATCCATTTTTTTTATGTTACCAATTCATCCTGAGTGAACACAAAAACTATTGAAAATTTCTGGTAATCTGATAGTGGACTAAAATTAGTTAATCAAAAAAACATTGTGCTTGAGTCTATCAGTAATTTTAAAATTCATTTGCATTTACTTTTTTAAATCGTTTTTGTCATCCAAATCTAAAATTTGAATAATAGCTTAACAAGGATCTTATTGCATGATCAACATTTTAGTTCACTATCAAAGCGCTGTTTAAATAATCAATCAAAAATATTAAATGAAAATATCTGTTAATTTTCAAACAGATAATTTCGATATTACTACACTTTGGTATAAACTCTCTTAAAACTATTCTAACTTTGATCATACAAATAGAAATTTAAATTTAATGTTTGTGAACATCCGTCCGTACGCAAATTAAACATTTTCACCTAATTAATATATTTAATATAGTAAGGTACAAAACCTAAATAACATTAAATGGCAAAATATGACAGTGAAATTTATAGGTACGGAGGCGTATCATATCAGTATCAGGAATAGCAAACCTTAAGGAGTATCAAGGGCGTCACAATAGAGCCTGTGATATCCATGATGCTATGTATCTATAGACAGTTACTTTCACGCAGAATACACGAATAAAAAACATCAAACGTAACAACAGGACCAACATTTTGATCAACTTAGCAGTTGAATTTAATAGAAAAAACTATTAGTGAAAAGTACGTGCAGAGTTTGGTGGCTTGATAAGTCTACACACACACAAAACAAGGAGAGTATATGGAGGTTGAAAAGATAATGGCCACTAGCACTCTTCCACTCATTACCAGAGGGAGACTGTACAAAAGTCGTTTGCTTGGGTACCCCTGTCCCATTCGTGTTTCAACCATGAAGCAGTTGTGTTTGCATGGCTGTGTTTCGGTTTGAAGGGTGGGATATAGCGTGAACTTACTGGGTACAGAGGAATAACACCTGAGTCCTCAGGAATAGCAACGCATGGGGGTATCATGGGCGAAACAGTACACTCTGTTATGTCCATGGTACTGCTCATGTCTATAGGCAACGGTTACCACTTTCCATCAGGTGGGCCGTCCACCTTGTTTGCCATTCTGTTGTATAAAAAAAAATCCTCCAACTAGCTAAAAATTTACCTATCTTTCCTTACACCAAGAGTAAAAGTTTTACTGCTAATAAGAACATATCCTTCTACTATCACTCCTAATAATGGAATGGAATATTATAGATATTGAAAACATAATAGTATTGGTTCCCATAACAAAACCTAAAAACTTGAAGATAATTTTACAAAAGTGCGCATTAACAGCACGCGACGAGTTTTGTTCGCATTGATTTTTTTAATGCAACTTTGTCACAATTAAGTTATTACATACTTTAAAACCTCTTTAACAACACACCTACTCGGAAAGTGAATTATTACTACTTCAATTATAGGGCTTTGAACAATCCATTATTACTACTCTTGGAAGTAAAAAAAAATGAAATGTCATTATTTTCGTTTTATAAACAGATAGTTACTTCTTCTAATTCAATAACCATATCGCCAAAATAAGAAGTTTAAAATTAAAATATACTAAATATTTTACATTTTATTACAAAAACTTGAAAGAAACCCAGCTGAAATTTATTATTCCTAATTTGTACTCAATATTTCCTCTTCTCATTAATTTGCGTCAATTCCTTACATGTATTTTTATTAAATTATCAAAAAGATTTTATAGTATGTCATCATATAAAGGGGGGGGGGTCCCTTTTTCCACGTACTCAGCAGTGCAATAAGGTTTACGTAGTGTAGTAAAATTATTGCACTTTACTATTTTCTAAAATCATAAATTTTTAAAGACACCCTGCATTAAAAATCCGCTGCCAAGTAGGCAATTCAAGCATATTTAAACTTGCACTGGTGGGCGACGTGCGCTTCTGCATCATCCATATCTAGTAGTATGTATATTTCATCACCTTGCGCAGAAGCAAAGACAACTAGTTATTTCATTAGAATTATTTTGTTTAATTCCGCTACCATTAGAATGTGTGCGATTGCTAACATTCGAAGATTGACCACCATTACCATTACCAAAAGTTCCACAACCTTCCAAATTAATCATCAATTTTCGACTGCCATTTCGTACACGCACATTTTGTTTCAGTCGCACACATACTAATAGTAGCAGAATTAAACAAAATAATTATAATCAAATAACCAGTGATATGGAATTCCGCAAAATCACTCTTAGTTCAGTAAAATATTTGCAAAAACAATTTCTAAATAAATAAATGAATTGTTTATTTTCTCTTCACAAAACGTAGAATAAAATGACAACTTGAGGTACAATTAGATGTGTAAGACCAATTTTGTGAGAGACTGGTGCTTGGAGTAAATTTTGAAGAACCTTTGTTACAAGTCACCAGTTATTTTTATTATTATTAAGTTGGCATTTATATAAATATTTATTTAAATATTTCGGTTAGTATGCGTGTGACTGCCAACACTCGAAAATTGACCACCACTATTATTACCCAAAGTTCCACAACTTTCCACATTAGCCATCAATCTCCGTGAAAAAGACTCTATTTTCCGCGCTTAGCCTCTCATTTGGGCCGTTGTGCGAAATTGCGTTGGCCATCAATCTCCGACTGCCATTGTGTTTACGCACATTTCGTGACACATGTTTCATCTCTAAACGAGGCAAATTATTATATTTATTTAAGCTAAAACCTCGTTCGTTCATCGTCAAGAGGACGCCTCTCAGTCTTGCCCAGAGGCGCCAGACTAGCTCCGTTTTCAACTTAAGAGATACAATAGTTTTTAACCCAATAAATAAAATAATAACTGACCCGGTGGTGGCGGAGGAAGCAAAACGTTTGCCGCTTCAACTGGTCCTATCATAAAACTTACCAGTTTCTGTGGCGAGGTTGGCATGCAAATTAATAGCAGTGGCGAGAACACGGTCGTCGTTAGTGGCCCGCGAGTGGTCCCTCTCAGCGGTGAAGGCACGTGACGCGAGTAAACTGCCGCGGGAGGTGGCGAGTCGCACGGCCGCCCCCGCGCCCCCCGCGCCACCCCCCGCGCCGCCCCCCGCACACACCCACGCGAGCGCCGCGCTCGCTCGCTCCCCCACGCGAGAACACTTCTTCAAGCCCTCCAACTCTGTCATCACTAAGTACAAGAAAAAAAATTATCATATAAACTAAACGGCTTAATGACGAAGTGTAAACAGCAATAATATGAAATTACTATTTTAGATGTAACAGAAAAAAAATTTATACTAGAAAGGGATAAACTATTTTCCTCATCCCAAAAATAAAGTTCCATATATATGACAAAATGCCATTGTACTTTTACAATACAACCAGTTGTGTTCTTCTAAACAAAAATTGAGAGATACGGCACCGTCGGTACTTAAATTTTATACAAATATAAAATACTAAACTTTATGTTAAAAATAACTATAAATTTCACATATTTTACATATGGATATGTCATATCAATGTCCATTTGATCAAATTTAGTATTAACAGTATTTAAATAAACTTCATTTTTACTTCGAAATAGCTTTGGAGTTTTCTATTATAACAAATGTAAAATAATATCAATTTATTTTAAAACCTTAAAACTGTATTTTAAATACAATTGAAAATATACTCATCATCACTCATTTATGAATAATTATCGTTGTCAAAATTTTTTACTGAGTAACATCTCACCAACAAGAGGTACAGCCAGAATATAGGGCTGAGAAGGCGCTTCCGCGACGGCCTGCAGGAGCGGTAGATGGTCGATGAAGCAGTTCGTGTCAGGGACCAGCCAACGCGGCCGTACCTCCACTTCCACGCTCACCCAACCACCGCCTAGTATTTCCTGTTACAATAAAATAACATCGAATCTATTAATACAATCTTATCACCAATATAAATTATCCAAAACGATTACTTTTTGCAGGTCGATTTTTATTAAATATTGATTTTATCATATATTATATCAAAATAAAGGACAGTTTCCATATATATTTGCTTGACTGTGCATTTTAATGTTGATTATAAACAATATTGTAGTTGCATATCTAAAGATGGGCATTATTTATACCATTAAGTGTTTATCAGGGTTTTAAGTCTATTTCCAATACATTATCTAAGTAAAACCGGTTAACAACATGAAGTAAGTGGCCAGGTGTTCATAGTTGCACTGATTCTTGCTTCAATGTAACTTGTCTATAGCCCGGAAAAAGCACATACTACCAACACGGGCAGGTTTCTTAAATGGCATAATCTGATGTAATAACATGCCTATAAAACGCATCATATGAGTAAAGAATGTGCAATTATAATATAGCGCAGCCTTTAGACTTACATCTTCACAAGACTTATGTTTATCAATTTACCTAACATTTATTTATTTAATTAATTCATTGATACAGTCGTATACATCACATGGTGCAGAAAACAAACATGATACTGAATAGTTCTCTACCAAGCAACCAATTTTATATATGGTACTAAAATGAATATTCAATCGTTTAATATAATATGTTTTATTGTATTGGGTGTGATATACTCAATATTGCAAATAAATTCAGCTTACATCAAAAGGAAATTATTTTTTAACAAAAGTCCGCAATTAATATAAACTCTAATAGCATTCTAATAAGCATTTTTTCGAAATGATGATATCTTTCATACAATGAACATGATTTGAAAGCAATTGTAATAGTCACAAGTAACGTAATACATTGGATTTTTTTATCTTATTTTCAAAAGAGTCACCATTTAAAAAATGCCCGTATTTGTAAATAACAAAATACTCGTACACACCTGCATGCGTTCCCGGCGCTTGTCGAGGGTTGCTTTCCTGGACTCAAGTTGCTCTTTACGGCGTAATAGCCTAAGAGTGGTCTCGTCCGCCCCCTCGGGGCCTTCGAGTCCTTCGGGGAGAGTAACTGACCCGCTCGCTATCCCACTCACACTGTCCTCTTCTTCCGAATCTTCTGACTGCAAGATGATCAAATACAGGATTAATATATAAGTTTTTTTTTGTTACCAATAATTACTAGCAGTAGTGCCCGGCTTCAACTGTACGAAGAGTGGTATATAAACAAAGATAGAGCCTAAAAAATTCTAAACTTTTGAAATCAGATGGTGCTACCTTTATACAATTATTAAGTGCTACGAAATCACAACAAATCTTTGATACTTAAACGGACAATCCTGAATACCCAAACCCAAATTGGTGAATTGAACTGGGGACCTATTTTACAGAAGTATTGTGTTCGCTGTATGGTCCCGGGATAAAATGTGTTACACTTTCTTTTCCCGTGGGTGTCGTAAGATGCCACGAAGGGAACTTAATAGTCCAAGGATAGGCAACATAGCGCTAAAAAATAAAATTTATACCACATAATATCTTCAAAGTTGAGTTTATTCAGATTGACTTGGTCTGCATATTGAGATCAGAATTTTTTGTAAACAATTGATTATTTATAGTATAAGGACTTCTTAGATAGTAGTATAAACAATAAATTTTGAATGTACTTTATATTATATTAATAATAATAGGATTTACGTAAGTGAAATGTAAAATATTCTTGTCTGTAATTAGTCGATACATAATTTATGTAGACAAAGTATGCACCATAAAACGTTAGTACTTCGATATAACCCGTTAACATGATAAAATATTATTATGATCTCTGATAACAAGTTATAAAATTGTAAGGGTTCTTCGTGGATTAAACTGAATTTTACGAGTATTTTAGTAACGACCAAAAATATAATGAGTATGATGGCTCGTAAACTAAAGACTTATACTTGGTATTACAGCAGCTCCATAATAAACAACAGAGCAGCTGAATAGACTAAAATATATTATTGGTATTATTAAAAGCGAGGATCCAATTCTACTATTTTTATTGCAAAATTAGATTTTACCCACTGTTTTGTTCATGTACAATTAGGACTTTTTGATTATTTTAACGGTGACAGCTCATGTGGGCAACGCTTGATTGGGGTCCTGATCTTAATTATCGAAAGAAATATAATATCGTCGTCCGTTAGGCCACGTCAGAGGGCTTCATGCAAAACTAGAGGACGATATGCTCACACGAAGAGCATTCTCATTGTAAAATTTAATTAAAATCATTTCAGCCGTTTAGCCAAGAAAACCAAACAGACACATTTTTTTTACAACACAGGGGGCAAACGAGCATGCGGTTCACCTGATGGTAAGTGACTACCACCGCCCATGATCACCCACAACACCAGCGGAATTGCAGGTGTGCTACCGGCCAATAACTTTTACATTTATACGATTATTATAGAGTAAAAATCACTGCAATTGTTTTGGTAATGTTGTAGAAAGTCCAATGTATTGCACAAAAACTATCTATATTACTCCGCTAATGTGCATAATATGTCGACAGTCTTACATCGTCGAAGTCATCCGAAACGGGTCACACTAATCCTGCAATATTAATATTGGATCGGTTCGGTGCTTACCAAATGCTGGAGAGGCGGATTATGTGGCTGTACTCGCTGTACGGCGCTAACGTATCGCGGCGGCGCGCTGGCCGGGTACTCCAGCCGTAGTACAGGTGGCTCTACCCCCACAAGATACCTACACAAACATTTACTTAATACATAATCAAGTCAAAGTTTATTAATAAATTACTTTAAAAAAAGAGAGAAGATTCCTATTTTATCCGAAAAAGATTATAATAGTACCTTGCTTATGTCCGCAATTCACACGATTGGATTTTGGAAGTAGGTAATCACATCTAGTATATTAAGATAAAACCAGATTTTAAGTTAAAGCTTTAGACACAACTATGAAAACCATTTAATTACTTTTAGCGTGATGCAAGGTCAAATATACGGATAGACAGTCAGCCAGACAGAATATTTAAAAATGGCCACTTTGGTTTCTATTACACTTTTTTTTTATTTATTTCAAGTAAACAGTTACATAGACAGTATATATTCTTAGTGCTGCGAAACTGCATTACAGTTTGTCTGCAGCTTTGCGCTCTTATACATACAGCTTTTTAAACAATTATAAACTTATATTCTAATTCTATATACTAAACTCATATCTTTATACATACATTATACACAGATATTCATATATATACACATATAAACACATACATATACATACAAATACACATGCATAAACTAATAAACTACACTACTCTTGTAAATCATGTCAGATATTTTTTTTTTCAAATATCTCCTTTGTATAAACGTAGTCTAGTTACGTATTTATTATATTAGTAAGATAACTAACTCGGTGCCGAAGAAAAGCAATTTCCTGAGTCGCAACGCGTGTTCAGCGGCGTGCAGCTGCACGGCTGGCTCGGGCCGCACCCATGCGACCGCAGGCTCCATGTACATCAGCGGCGTGAACCCGCCCAGAGACGCATCCTCCGCTAGGCGCACTGTTGTGTAACCTAACAAATAATAGGATACATTTGTTATAATCATAACAACAATAATTAACATCGGGGTAAAGGGATTGTTAGTAAGACGGACTACCAGTATCATTACTAGCAATATATCCTGTCAGGTCAACCTCCACGTGGTTCCCCTTGGAAACCATCGTGCTGAAGTCCAAGTGTATTGATCACAACGGGCTGACAGACCTGCCTTTTTATTCTCACTTATCATCCATCACCGGTGCCTCGCCAGCGAATACCGTTAGCGCAGGCTGAGTTACCATTCCATCATCATGCATAAAAAAATAATTAACATCGGAGGGGAAGAATTTTATAGCAATAGGAACCCCATTACTAGCATTATCCCTTAAAAGATTAATAAACACACGATTCTCTTGAAAACTACAATAGTTTATTCCTAATAATTTCGTCAACATAAACCAACCGACCTGAATTCATCTTCACTTAACGATAATAAGGGCAGGGTTACCATTCCGTTTCCATCCCATTAAAACACAATCAGTGCAGAATGTTAGTGTAATATTACCACGTAGAACCGGCGACTGATATGTATGTGTTCTGTTCTCTTTATCATTTCTTACGACAACCTGAATATGTAAAAATGTAAAATACCCCGTAGATGGTGTTAGTAAAATTAATGTTAGTATAGACTACCATGCAGCCGAAGTTGCTGGTGCAGCTACTTATTATTATATAATTATATAAGTTTTTAAATCCAGGTTATAAAAAGCGGTTTACTTTATAAATTATTACTTTATAGGTATTCTCTTGAAATTACACATAATTATTTTAAACAACGAAGATGGCAAATAAGCACGTACTCTGTGCTTGTGCATCAAACGTGAATGGCAACGTTTGATAAGGAGACACTGAAGCGTACTATTTTATAAAAGAAATCTGTAGACGAGAATTTTTGGAGAATTTTAAATACTTATATATTTAAATTAAAATGTAGCAACCAATGTTATTGTCACATTTCAATTCTTTGACACAAGTCAATATACCAATGAATATTCATAATAAATTTTACATTAACTAGTTACTATAAATGCGTAATGGAACGCTTTTATCTTATGAAAGATCTAACACATTTCCAGTTCCAAGTAAGACACGATCTGATACTATCAACAGTTCGAACCTAATGAATATAAATACAAGTTTTTTTTAAGAAACCGATAATATCAAGTCTTATGTATGGAAAAATAGAAATTATATAAACTTTTGTTCAAAAATATTATATAAGTAGATATCATTTGTCGAATATTCAGCGACAAAGGCAAAGCAATGATGACATATCTAAATATAAAATACACAGATTTTTAAAGTTGCTACTTTAAATTTCTAGTACATGTCTGGCATACATATTAGACGGCAATTTTAGAATTATAGGGTGCATAATACCGCGTCCGAGCTGTGGCCTTCAAGGCCGCCGACCCACTACATAACGGGGCGTAGACCAGACGAGTGCACAACGTAATGTAACATGATCCTTACAATAAATTCCAACGCGCAAAAAAACTGCGAATTCAATTAAAGTAAAACCTGATTGATGTAAGTGAACAATCTAGCAACAGCAATTTTATCTAAAGAGAAATTTAGTCCAGTCATATCTATAGATACTTTATATAATGAAAGTAATCTATATTTTATAAAAGAAAACACCGCTTATACTGTACTGTGTGTTACAAATTATTATTCTATGAACATCGATACACAAAAAATCTAAAATCGTAGACTTTCAAGCGGTACTAAAAATAAAGCTCACTCATGCAAATTAGAAACTCATTTGCAGCCAGCCTAAGACGATTGTTATCAAACTTGCTAAAATATTCTTACAAACATTTAAAAGGATAACACTACGTAGACTTCTCTCTCGTTTTGACTTACAATATCTATCCACTTTTCTTTCTTTTTATTTCAGATAGGTGTAAATTTTGTTTATATGAATCTTGTTTATTCTTTCATATCTTTACAATTTTTTTGCTTTATACACTTAAAATTTAAGGCATTCTTAAAGAAAATAGATAAATATATATGACACGTATATATAATGTAAGATAAGAATGAGGACCGTTAGCACTTGAATTTCCCTTACCGATTCATTGAAGGCAAGCTGTTGGTACGACTAATGTTATTTTTTATGCTATTTATGGTAAATAAGCAAGCTGACGATCTACCTGATGAAAACTAGTAACAGATATGAACAGTGAATACGGACATAACAGAATATACTGTAATGCTCATGATACCCCTCATACGTTATCATCCCTGAAGATTAAGGCGTATGTCTCTGTGCCCTGTAATTTTATTACCATATCCCATCCATATATTATCGTATATTATCTTACCTTCAATTACTTCGTTTTCCAATTCTATCGACTTGTCATCGAGAGCTTCAAGGATATTCATAAGCTTCGCAAGCCAATCCCATGGATCATTTTCGCTTCTGGACATGAAATGCATAAAAAACAATAATAAAGACTATGTAACCAGTCATTAAAGGAAGTCAAGAACTAAAAAATATTTAATTATAATGTACGAATAATACTTAGACAAAGAAACCTTAAATGACCAAATTTTCGACTGGGTACAGTTATTGCGATACACGGGTACACATTGTCTCACGCATACTAATGGACGTGGAATTAAACAAAATAATACTAATCAAGTAACCATTTATTTGTGGTTACACGTGTAATATAAATATCGTAATAGTGTGAGTATCTGACGGAACAAATAACACACACATATAAAGTGCACATGCACTTGTGAATTACAAGGAGCGTGCGACTGTAAAACTATACATACGTCAGCAATACATCACGATTAAAGTTTTTACCTGATTAGTCTCTTTATTGTTGTTAACTCTACCCAAAACATCTATTTCTTTTCATATTTATTTATCCAATTAATCAGCATTGTTATTAAGGATGTTAACGAATATACTTACTCTGTTTCGAAATTATCAAATGTAGGCGGTGGATTCCATATACTGCTATGACACAGCATCCAGTCGGACCACACCTATAAAAAATAATGATCTGGTAATTTTTTTTATACTACTGAGGTGGCAAACAAGCATACGGCCCACATAATGGTAAGTGGTTACCGCAGCCTATGAACACCTGCAATACCAGAGGTATTACGCGTGCGTTGCCGACCCTGAAGAAACCTCTTTACCCCCCATTATTATTGTGACATTATTTGTCACAAAAAATAATAATTGTCATAGTAGTATCGAACACATCATAACTATGATCAAATGTATGATAATTAAAATATACAAGAATACATATAACAGGAGCGGGAAGAAGTTATAAACATCATTAATTTATTTAAAATACCATTATTTCATCTTTTTCTACCATAAAACAATATATATTATTTACTATACTTCTGTCTGAATGAATGAAAGACATCAGTACTATCCCTAGCACTAAAGCATAACATAATTATATACATAACATGTATATAAGGAATAACATAGATGATATAATCTGATATTTCTACGGATTTTTTCATACCTAAACTAGCAGTGCAGTACGGCGGCATTAATTACATTGACTGCTCATAAAAAATAGTAAATATTGACTGTTACGCATGGAGGAACAATTATCAAGCAATTTCGTGAAACATTAGACATGAGAACAATGTAAGTTATTAAAAACTTCAGTAAAGCTACCATATAGGTAGCCACATTCAGCTGTCAACTTGTCTAGTGGCATAAAAAAGTGAGTACCTTGATAGCGGGCAACAGTAGAAGCGCGTCGGCGTGGTGCTGCGTATGTGCCGGCTCGGGCAACAACGCGCAACACCTCTCAAGCAACGCGCCGAACATCAGCAACGACACGCCCAACGCACAATCAAGCCACGCCGTTCGTTTACCATTGTTGCTTTCGTCTGTTTATATGAAATATTATATTCATTGTTATTTTATGTTTCTTATAAACACATATTTCTAATAGCTATATACTAAGGAACTCGTACACAACGTTTAGAACACTAGTCGGAAGAAATAATTTTGACAGCCTTATAATTTAAATTCCTGATGAGAAAAAAATTGAAAATTTTCACAGTTTCTTATACAAAATGAAATCGAAAACATTAGATTCCTCTTAAAAAAGCGTTTTACTAATGAAACTTAATACATTTCCCAAAAGGAATATTGCTCAACAAACGATAAAAATACAACCAAATTGAGAAGCTCCCTCTTTTTAAAGTCGGTTGATAAAAGATTTAGCTTCGCATACTAACACGGTAAATGCAGCTATTAAATTACTATGAGTAGTAATTCAAGAAAATTTCTGTCGACAAAAATAAATAAAAATATAGATGTTATAATAAACCACTGTTAAAAGACCTTTGTACTCAGCAACTTTGAGGTTACCATATGCGAAATAAAGTATTTGCATCAAATTACAATATTTGAGGTTTTCATCGATTTCCATGCGAAATATACATAACATTTGCATATAATGGAATGAGTCAAACATTAACAATTGCAGTTAACTGCACGCTCTAATCAATAAACAATCAGGGCCAACCGGAACGAGATAGCAATGAATAAGCATTCTCATAAAAATAATAGTTTTTAAAATTTTCTCAGCATAATTTTAAGATAAGCAAATGAACACGAGTTATATAAAAATTAATATTTAATAACTTTTATAAAAACGTAATAATATTTGAGGCTAAACTATTGTTTATAACACTAAATAAGTTTTTTTTATCATTTTCTTTTTATTGTTCTCTATAAACTATCTATAAATATCGAATTAACACCAAATAAGGATTCATTTATAATCATGACAACCTGAGAAACTAATACATGATCTCGTTGTATTTCTTTGTAATACTTAGACCATCACATAAATCTATCTAGTATTTTCGCTTTAAATGGAACTTTGTAGTTACATTGAAATTCAAATACAAGATTAGTTGATATCAGATACAAAATGTTAGTCATCGTTTGCATTATGAGTCATCCCGCTGTTTTTTATAGAGGAAACCTGCTCTTATAGTATGAAGTAAGGGATATTGTTACTTGAACTTGTCCAAGTTTCAAATCTACAAAACCCTAAGCAAAAAATAAACATAAAGAAAACTATTTATAATAAAACAAATATTTTATATGTAAATATGTTTAAACAAAGTCATTTATTACAAAAAAAAATAACTCGAATTTTCGTGGAAATTCTGTGCAAAACTACGACTTTATTGACTTTCTGAATTCCATAAATCAGTCAATAGTCATTTGTATGGTAGTTTATATCAATTTATAAATGTATCGTTATTTTATAAGTTCGTCTAAGTACTTTATACAAAGATTAAGCATATATTAGTGGAAAAACAACTGATGAAGATGGATAAAACGGGTATGCAAGTGAAATATGATATGGGATGTCCTCGGTTTCCATCGGCGGAAGATGACCGACAGCTATTCCAAGTCGTAGAGCCGGTCCGATATAAATAGATCTAGCTAAAAATAACACAGATTGCACCTGCAAATGCGATACACTTACACCCTCTACCGACAACTATAGATGTATAGATTATATACATAGATAAATTAGATACATAGTCTTGATATCGCGTTGGTACTTGTCATATAAAATGATATATATTTCATTTATTTATTAATAAAATCGAAAGACCATTGCAAAAGTAACTATATTTGTGACTTAACTATAAATAAAAATCTTCTGTGACTTATGTTTATAATAGAAATATATTAATAAAAGAAATCAATAATGTATTTGAAAAGCATTACAATTTATTAGAAACAAATAGTAGGACTCCACAAGTATAAAGTTTACCTCAACAATAGGCTGAATTTTTTTTAAAAAATTAAATGTAAAAACATTTAAAAAGTAACTGATATTAGTACATAAAAATAACATACATATTATTTTGTATCGTAACGTTATCATTAAATCTTTTCTGAAATTTTCCATTCACCATGCATTGCCAAAGGGCATATTCGAACCAGTGTAATTAAGGCTCCCGAACGCCATAATTTCACTTTAATAATTCAAAATATCATTACGTATAATGGCGTAAAAGAGTAACCGTCGCCGTGCCGATGCCGTCGCGTCGCCGAGTCAGTCGTTGAACCTGTCATATGCGCATTTGCGCGGTGCACAGAGGCAGCGCTGGCGGTACGCAGTACCGCAGTACCGACGTGAGCACAGTGCATCAACCTTCGATAACTTGTAATTTGTAATTACAAAGCTTTACTACGTACGGATGGAGCCACAGGAAATAGCCGCATTTACAAGCCCACTTTATATTAATTTAGAAAACTGAATACATGTAGAGTTTCCTATCTTCATTATATACTCACAGGCTAAAATTAAATGAAAAGTTCTAAAATACATAGGTAAAATAAGTGTAACATATACCGTATTGGACAATCTAAACAATCCATCTTCCGTCCACACAGATGACATGTCAAATAAGCAAATATTTGTAGCATCATAACAGTCATTAACTGTCATTATTTACTCTGCCGTCATACAAGTAAATCAATAACTTGAACCTCCTAGTAAACGATCTTACATTTCTGTTGACAACTTGCAGTTTACATGCCACAAACCCGAAAAATGTCAAACGTGATTCAACTACCTTCTAAGGTTTTTCACAAACTGTATAGAAGCATGTCAAAAAATATTTTTAAATTCTAACTCTGTATAGAAATCTTCAAATATACGACGTTCAATGTTGTTCATTCCTTTATGTTTTTATTCCTATTTTTATTTCCATTTCTATGATTTCCTCCTGTTAAATCGAGATTAATCTATTGTCATAAACAAACTACAAAAATGTATCTCCATAAATAAGAACATATTTTTACTCCACAGATTTTTATTTACATATATTTGATAACCTGACATATTTCGCCGTTTATGACCATTATCAAAGGCGAAATCGTTCACTGCACCAAATTCCAATTATCTCCAGCATTAACAATTAAAAAATTCTGTTAAGAATATAAAATTTTAGTTAAAACGTCAATTATGCCAACAGGTTCTTAATTATCTTTTATGACATTGATAGATTCCAATCGACTTTGAAATATATACATCTATTAGACAACATTAAATATGATGAACGAAATCATAAATTATTATATATTAATGGAGTAGTCGCAGTTTATATGATTGAATCTTATTCATATAATTTTATAGTATTATTTAAAACAATTTTTAATTGATACCTACTATATACTTAATTACGTGAAAGATTCCATACCATCCTCCCTTACACGGTGAATGTATTCAATTACATTGGTAGAACACTCCTTTAAAAGAATATTAAACGATTTCGATTAAAGCCTATATATTAAGATATTGAATTCTGTCAATTTTGTAATACGCATTGTTTAAACTCTGCTTAGTCTAGAATAAGATAACGCTGTGTGATAGCTATATTCAGGGACTATCACTAATTTTATTTATTTACCTTTAAGTGAGGAAGTAGTGGTTTCAACGGCGAACATATTAAGCGCGGTGAGTTGTAGGAGGCGCGCAGCCGGCGTTGGTAACGGCTGGCGGTGTAACAGTGCTCGGAACTGACGCAGCATTTCACTCGCACTCTCGTGGAACGTCTCCATGCTGAGAACACATTCAGTACATGTATATCTCTATCTGCGACGGCACTATTATATGTATCACTTTTAAAGCAAATACAAATATCTTTCATTTCAACATAATCACATGTATCAAGTGTATCAACAATAGAATCTAACAACTAGCAAAAATAGTAGTTCAAATGGAAAGGCTTTCCCTTGCTTGTGGAATAAGGAAAGGGAAGTCACCATGTATATTTATTAATGATATAATTTACAAATTAAACCCCAAATAAAAACTAAAACATCCTAAACTATTAGTGTTTTGTTACAGTATTCCTAAAAGAGAAATTGCCGCATAAGAAAAAGACAAGTTTCAATAGGTAAAAGAGCTTTAATAATACATAGGAGTCTATATTTGTACCTCTGCTCTATTTATGTTTCTATTGCTAAGCATGTGGCAATGGCGTGAAAAGCTGATAGGAGGTATAAGACCTGTCGTCAAGTAAGGCAACATATAAGAAGCACCAGGGACATCATAATATATTCTGTGTGTTCTGTGATTTATTTCATCTATGATGCTATTCTTGTCTATAGATGATGGTTACCATTTCCCATCAGATGGATAATAATTTTGTTTGCAACTCCGAAATATAAAAAATAATAAATTTAATTATTTAAATGTTGTAAAATAATAATATACTTAGTTAGGAAAAATCCAAATTTATAAAACGATTTTTTAAACAAAATCTAAATCTACAAAAGCCAGATAAATTTCACAAAATCATATAGATTTAAACATTATTTTTATTAATAAATACAAATAAAGCTGTTTGATAAACAAGTTAAATTTATGATCCGTTGTATGTAGAAACCGTGTTTTGACAGTGCAATATTACAGGTAATAATTTATATATCATTTATACACTTTACAGGACATTATAAGTATATACAATAAAAAAAGGCTGCCACTGAAGAGGCCGGTTTGGTTACCAGCAATACTTTATTAATACAAGATACATTAATCATTATAGATGTAAAAAAAAAATAAAAATGTTAATACCAACGTGGTAGATTTTATGGACTGACGACAAATGACAGGGTAATTTTTAACATACATTTCGATTTAGTAGCTGTTTATGTGTGATTAATAACAGTCCGTTTATTGATTATTACTGTGCTTCCTATATTTAGAAATCGGAGTAAAACTGTCTGCCTGAACTTACTTTTGGTTGTTAATGCCGATAGTTGAGGCATTTTATGCAACAAAATAGACAATAAAACCGCTTTGTAAGCGCCGAAAGCCGTTCCGTTTATGCCCTAAAATAATGTAGTATAGAGAAGTAGCTTACCCAATTTTTGTGATGAGTTTTCCATGCACATGTAAGTAACTGGTAATGAAGTTTTTATTCAACTGTAAAAAAACGAAAGCTATCAAGTATTTATACCTAAACCGATCGTACTAAACTTTAACATCAACACAGACATTTCATAAACACAATGATATCCTATAAAGATTTCAAATCAACATAAATAATGTATATACATTATAATTTTTAAAGTAAAAAATATTTCATTTTAGAACAGTGTAGTATAATTGTTTTTTATATTACAAGGGAATGACAACAAGCAAGATTTTCTTCACAAGAGACTATATTTTAATATCGTAAATAGACGATTAACCCCCATACACGATAATCATTACCATTATCATATCAGCCTCATCATCATAACTGTCCACTGCTGAACACAGACCTCCCCATAGAGTGGGAGGGGGGAGGTTGCCAGTAGTTGCCCTGATGTTTTAAAAGGGGCTCTGTTGCCCATTCCTTAACCATTAAGTCCCCTTAGTCACCTGTTATTGATGAAAATTTTAAATACACGTTTAAAAGAAACGTCGCTGTCACGACTGTGCGGCCAGTCAGAAAGAAAGAGGTGAAATATCTATGTATAATTTAATTAGCCTACTTAATGGAAAAGGAACTGATGATGTTAACAAGTGGTTATAAGATGAATATATACAATATTTATTTACAAACGCTACATAGTAAATGTCTGATACGGTAAAACAGTTCATATCACATCTTTGTGTTTCTGATATATTTTAGGTCAATAAAAAATAGAAGAAAATCGAAAGTCATGGACTGTATATAAAAAAAAAGGTGGTCGGTCATATTGTGACTTAATCAAATCGCCAATAACTCCTCTGATTAATTATATACCATTCGATGCATAAAACAAAAACCAAATTCAAGGTATGTAACTCAATATCGGCATTTGCAGCGTCGCAATGTTTGTTTTGTTGAAATCATAAGTTACATATTTCATTCTATAGATTTACTGACCAATCACCTACACCATGCTAAAACGTACAGAGTATAATTAGAAACTATCAATACCTCAACAGAGGTCATGGAAGCGAGGTGATCGTCCCGCGCTTGGTGTTGCAGCGTGGTAGTGCGATGTCCGCTGGGCCGCACCCAAATCTCACGCCGTAGTCCGCCCGCTGCACCACTGCCGCTGCTGACGTTGGTGACGCCATTCCCACCGCCACTAACACCATTCTCACCACCATTTTCGACACTGCGCGAGTTCTCTAAGGTCGCTCGTCTTTTTCGCTCCGCCGCTTCGTACTGTCAACGTTACAAATAATGCTAAATATTAAAAAAAAATTACGCAACAGGACTCGAACCCACCTTTCTGAATTTTTCAATGTAATATTTATACGCTGTGTCAACACATTTTGCCATTCTATGTGTTCCTTTTTTATAAACAAAAATGTATATTGCACCCGAGGTGCAGTATACCGAGCAAGGTATACTATTTTAAAATATATTTATAAGACTTTAGTATAGGAATATTCAAATCTTTAAAAAAGCAAACCAGCTGCAATCTTAACAAAATCCATATGACTCTAATACGTCAGTAAATTCATTCAATATAGAATCATTAAAATGGATCCAAAATTTATAAAGATAACGCGTAACATAAATACCATTAAAAAAAAAATTATTACACTTTCTGAGAAATGTGGCCGAGTCCTATTTAAGTATGAACGAATATTCGTTAGCAGTGTAAAAAAAAGTCAAGATATGGCATAGATTAGACGCTGACGCTATTATAATATATAAACGGATGGTATGTTTTTCACCATATCTGTCCTTCATACGCTTTCTGTTTTTACCTAAAAATTTGCTGGTAGAGAATACCATATGGAATTAAGCGTTTTTTAAACACAATTTTATTGTGCAATAAAGAATAACTATATATGTTCCTAACTATTTCTTGCCATATTTTAAACTAACTGTTGCCCGCGGTTTGCATTGTGCTTAAGTATGAAGATAAATAGTTGTATGGAAGTATGATTTTTGAAGAAGCATGAAATTATATTCTCATTTAAAAAAAATATACGTATTACAGTCTTTATTTTTCTTTGCATACTTTTATATATTTATACAGAATTTTATCTTCGTTATTCCGCTAAAGAAATACGTTTTATATTATGTACTTGAATTTCCAAAAACGGTAAAACACTTTTTTTTTTTTTGCTGAGAATCATTAATACTAAATTTGATTCTTCCAAAAATTCACTCCAAAAATGACCTATGTCGCCCTCTTAGGGGCAAATTTTCAAAAAGGCTGAAATACATATTTACTTATTTGTAGCCAAAAATCTGTATATAAAATTTCATTCGTCTAATTTAAAAATGACGGATTTCCATACAATCACTCATTCCTTAATCACTTAATCACGACAAATGTCAAAATTTCAAATTTTGAACCTCTATAGTTTAAGTTGATTTTTGATAAATCAATCAGGACAAACGACTTTATACATATAGATAACTGTTAATGCACTAACTGCGATACGAGGGAGTGATGCGCGGAACAAAACATTTACCTTCTCATTTTTATTAGATATTGCATCCTACTAAATATTGCGTGCATTCAGGTGAATGCACGCAATATTGCCGTGAGGTAGCACTGTTGCTGATTTTCGTTTTATAAAATTATAAAGATGATACCATAATATAATAACGATACCATATTTCAATATACCAATTCTCAACTGGAACCATAAACTATACCTTTTTTCTGTTTTCGTCAAATAGTGATATTAAACTTTCTCTTGCTGAACTAAATGGATTTGATGACATCAAACTTCTCATGTAATAATATACGGCGTCTAGTTTTCTTCTCTGCAAATAATCATATATCATGTTATTATTGGCTATACCTCCAAAATAATCGTTTATATAATCCAAGGCGACTTACCGCATATACTGCCAATATCGCCAACTGGTTGTAAGGTCGTCCATTTTTTGGATTAATTTGTTGAGCTTTTGTATACCAAAATTTACTTTTAGCATAATTATTAGTTTCATTCACTTGTTCCCTGTATCTAGCTAAGTCTCCAAGAAATACATAAAGTTTCTGAACTGAGATCAAGGCTAGACCCACGTAACCGAGTCCTTTGGGCGGCAATACATGATTATCGTTTATATACTCTTCAATATTAAATTTATAAGTCTTTTCTAACATCTGCACGAGATTTTCAAAGAAAACGTTACCCTCCTCAATGATAACATTTATTAACTTGACTATTTCTGGCTTATCATCTGGCGAAATTTGAGGAAAACTCTTTCTTAAAACTTCTATAAAGTTATAATACAAAATCTTCCAGAAGTGGTGTTCTATATTGTCAGATTGGCAATATTTGAGATCAGACATTAGAAGTTGCTGCAGAGCATTCTGGAGGAATTTCCTGTGAAATAACCACAAAATTTAAATAAAAAAAAATGCAATAAAAATGACAAATATAAGTAATAATTATAATACAGATATATAAAATAGAGATTTAATATCGATAGATAAGTGAGACAGATTCTCAGATTGATTATTTTTCTGACTTAATGAATAAAAACTTTTTAATGTAATTTTTCTCAAGGCAAGATAAAATATGCAATTGCACGCTTATAAAATTCAACTCAATAATAGTAATATAAATAAATAATGCGAATTATATTATTTTACTTTATACTTTTAAATTTCCTTGGCTATATTTTACAACAGACTGTATATCTGGACAAGATAGTTTTATGTACTTACTTAACTTAATTATGTTACTTATCTGTTAATTAATAAATGTTTAAATTTGCCTTAAGGGTGGAAGACAATTTTATATCACAAAATTAGTTTAATGATTCATAAAAATAGGAATACTCTAAATGTTTATAAATATAAAACTGTTGATAATTACTTTCCAAAATTTTTGACAACATAGTTTTGTAATTACAAAACATGTACATTCTTGAAACATCAGTCTAGTGTGCCATGAGGAGCGATTCGCCTATAACATCATCATGGGCGAAACAGTATACTCTGTTATGTCCATGGCACTGCTCATGTCTATAGGCGACGGTTACCACTTTCCATCAGGTGGGCCGTCAGCTTGTTTGCCATTCTAAATTGTATAAAATAAAATGACATGAGTACGGTCCACAGGTCAGAGCTATGTACTTACCGCGTGTTAACGACATCGTGCCAGTGAGCAGCGAGGGCGAGTGGGCCGCGCAGCGTGTGCGCCTGCAGCACGGCGTCCGCGCGATCTACCTCCTGGAGAAGGGCGCGGTGCCGCGCCGCCCGCGCCGCTTCCGCCGCCTCGTACTGCACACCGCCTCCCCCTCCACCGCCGCCGCCGCTGCGACCACACTCTCTGCCACCTGCAGCCCGATCTCAAGTTAAAATAATCACAGCAATGAGATATTTCTAACTCAAACCTCTGCACCGTATTAGAAAAATATTAACTGGCTAACCAGAAGCCTAGGGAGGGAAAGGAATTGTTAGTATTTTTTTTACTATTAAATGGTCCCACGAATGATCACGATCTCACCTTAAATGTAAATAATGAACTCTACCCCATTATTAACAATATGAAAGTTATCGCGATGGGCCAACTGACTTGCTTCTTTTCTACCGATCTGAGATATTGTGCCCCGGGTCATCTCTTGTATAGAGAATGGCAACATCTCGTATTCTAGAGTCTTATGATTAAAAAATATAACAAATATTCAATTGTTTCATTTGAAATATTAAATTTCAAATCGATAGCATTAATAGTGGCTGAGATATAGAACTGTAATAAACAAACAGATGGACAAAGTCACATTCTTTTGTATAACATTTGTACAGCACTCTAAAACAATTCAGATTGTAATATTGTTCTTGAAATAACCCCGTGTGACCCAATCTGTTTAATATTATTTATAGAATATATAAACACACAATTACCTCCATCCATTCTTATATCCCCTTTAGTGGGACTAGTTTGCACGATTATTGGTTTAGATGGATTTTGATGATCATATAGTAATTTCTGGTTTTCACAATTGCCAATCCGCCTGAAAAATATTAAATATTATTAACACACTTCATCTGAGACCCAAATTAATACTCTACTCATAAAATAAAAAAATACAAACCCATGGTCTTTCTGCAAATGATTGATGGAACTTTGAGGTAGGACTATCAATCCAGGATGTGAAGAATTCGTGTCATGTATAGACTTCTCTGACATAGTGCTGTTGAGTCTGTTCCGCTGTGGTTGTCCATCTGTGTGCCTATATTATAAATCAAAATTAAGTAATCTATTATTATTTTATTATTATTTCAGCCGTTAACTGTCCACTGCTGGACATAAGGCTTCCCTATAAGGGGAGTTTTGGTAGTAGTTGCCACGCTACTTTGAGGATGTTTTAAGAGGGATGCTGCTGTCCATCCCACGCTCTCCCTTAGTCGCCTCTTATGACACCCATAGGAAAAGACAGATGGCCCATTCTATACCGGGGCACACACGGCGTAACCTATTATTACAAACCAATTATTATCATATTAAATATAATCATGCAAGCGGAGTCACAATTTCATTTCCAGCCAAATATACCATACGGCTTAATACTTTGCTAGTTTTACATTGAATTTTCTTCCATATCACATAGCAATGAGTGAGAGTGCTTTGTTTTTCAAGTAACAGATATGTATGTATGTAAATATAATCATTTGATTATACTAACATTTGTAGCCGAGCATTTGTTCAATGTGATATTTACTCATCGATAGCAGAGGCGACCTTTTATTTACAAATTACAAATAAAACTATTAACATCCCATTACTGGAAATGAATCTTATAAAGAGGACGCCGATACCTACTATTACCATACCACGATAACCAGACAGTTTTTTTTATACCACTGAGGTGGCAAACAAGCATACGGCCCACCTGATGGTAAGCGGTTACCGCAGCCTATGAACGCCTGCAATACCAGAGGTATTACGCGCGTGTTGCCGACCCTAAAGAAACCTCTTTACCCCCCTTTTGAAGAACCCCATGCTGTAGTCTCTTGGGAAAACCTCGACAGGAAGCTCATTCCATAACCTGAGTTTTTTATTTCGAGCTTTTTTTCTTACTCTGCTATAAATTATCTGCTTATAAAGTATCTGCTTATAAAGTATTATAAGAATTATATGTGCTCACTCTATCACTATGTGGAGATTAACAATACATGAAAATTTTATAATTAATATGTCCAATCACCTATCGTGCGATGCTTGTTTTTTAGATTCGAGGATTTCCTCGCGCCAGTTGGTTGTCATGGAGGTAGAAGAGGTCGAAGTTGGTACATGGTGAGCGTGTGACGAATGAGAGGGGTGTGAAGAGTGCGAAATTTGTGCAACGTCGGAATGCCTGCCGCGGCGGCGACCGGCACGCTTGCGATTGCGGCGACCACCGCCGGCCGACCCATCAACACTACCGTCAGCTGTCATGTTGTTGTTCATCACTGGGGACTGTCTTCCACGCTCTGTGCTTGGAGTACGTCCACTCGCCCAAGATCCATTGTTTCTCTTCTGAAATGCATTACTCAATATCATGTCTTTCGTCTTTAAGTATAATAAAATTATTTAAAAAAAAAAAAGATTTTTTTAACAAAACTTTATTTTGTATGGAGAAAATAATTAAGCAAATACTTACTATATTAAAAATACGCCTAATATCAACATTGTAACAATATAAAAAAAAGATCAATTTATTATAATATTTAAAAATTGTACCTGGTTGCCAGATGACCAAATAGAAGATTTAGAACTTGGTATACGAAAACCTTCATTATCTCTTGGACTCATCGCCCGAATAGTTGATGTATCTCTGCTGTTACATTGTGAAACTATTCTTCTAAAACAATAAATTCATTAATAAATACAACGGTAATTTTATTGATTACATTAATTCGAACTAATAATCTTACTATACCCTATTTATCTATAGTATAATTATTTATTTATCAATATTTTTTATGCTACTTAGAATGGTAAACAAGCGGTAAACAAGTCCACCCAATGAAAAGTACAGTATACCATGGACGTAACAGAGTATACTGTTTCACCCATGAAATCCTTCATGCATTGCAATTTCCGAGGACTAAGGTCTTATGCCTTATTATGCCTCTGTACCCTGTAATTTCATTGCCCATCCCATTCTTCAAACCGAAACAACCTTACAAACATAACTAATTTACGGCAGAATCATAAATGGGACAGAGATAACCCAAGTAGACGATTTTTGTACAAAGTCTCTGTTTCTCAAATGTTTAGATGTCGTTATAAAATTTAATTCTTTGAAGCAATGTCAAATATGAAACTTAAAAAACAACTGAACAATTTATACTTTTTAAAAAGTATTTGTTTTTTTTTTATTTATTTTTCAAGCATTACAATATAAGCTGAACTCAAATAAAAAATATAGTTATTTCCCTTAGTTTGTTATTTCACAAACTTCAGAAAACTATATCTTTATCTTCTTTATACAAATATATTCTTTTTTCAAAATCTAATTCAAAGTAAAGTTTAATTCCCAAATAAGAAAGTTAATTTATTGAAAATCTGATAAAAGTTGTTTCGTTTTTATAAAAATCAATATAAATACTCTTGTTTATAATTATTTATTATTGGCTATTTTTATAGTTACAGATACCACTTACTTAAAAAATTCACTTGTACTCTAAATTCGATAACATAAAACCTACCTACATAGAGCAAACCAAAAGTCACAGTACAGTAATAAAAGCCTATTTATAAAGATAACACCTGTCGACACATTTTAAACCAAAAAAAACAGCAATAAAAATTATTAATTTTAATGAATTAATACATTACCCTTCTGTGCTCTGTTCTCTGCTGTACGATCGTAAAGATCTCCACCTATCCAAATCATCCCGGCTATTACCAAGGGTTGAGGAGCGATTGCTTTTATGGCTATCTCGTCGTTCCCTCTCTCTTTGCTTTAGATTTGAGAATATTGTTTCATGTTGAACACTTGCGTTACTATCTTTTCGATTTTTATCTGATTCATGTTGAATACTAGCATTACTATCTTTTCTATTTCTTTCAGATTTCTTTTCAGAATTTCGATGGCCTCTGCTTGAACTCCTATCAAATAATATTTTTTATTAACAAACTGTAAATAGATGGTATAAATATTCGACAAATAAAATTAAATATTTTGTGGAGAGAAATCTATTTATAGATACAATCAGTAGCGTAGGTACCGGAAGGCTAGACGGGATAGTGCCCCGAAGCCCTCAAACTCAGGGGGCCCCTCGGACTCTGACTTATAAATTGAACTAGTGAAAGTTTCTCCCACATTCGGAATATAAATAAATCAGATTTATTTAAATTTCTTCAACATATTTATATTTTTTTTACTTCACTATCACTATCATTATCATCACTACATAGTATAAAACAAAGTCGCTGTCGCTGTCTGTCCATCCCTATGTATGCTTGAACCTTTGAAACTACGCAACGAATTTTGAAGCGGTTTTTTAATAGATAGAGTGATTCAAGAGGAAGGTTTATATGTATAATTATGCATAATATTATAGAAAAACACTGATAAATTAAAAGGTTTCTAATGTGATGTCGTAATCGATATCGATAAACACATTTTTTGCGCTTACATTCTAAACGCTGGCTGAACCCTACGAGATAAATCAAAATAATGTACTACAATATCGTACACCTTAAAAAGGTCAACAAAAAAGTCCGCGATGGTATTTGTCTATCTCTTAAGGATAACCCACAATAACCATTTTTTATTCTTTACATTTTACGGAAAAAAGTGGCTTATTTACGAAGTGATTTTAAGCAATACAGCATCAATTTTTATCCAATTAAGTACCTTAAATACATCTTTACAGCATGTAATTTAAATAAATATTTCTAAAGATATTATAGATTTAAAATGAAGGTACATAGCGGTGCGGCGGTACTGGCCCGACCGGCGGCGTGTGCCTATAAATAGCGCGTCGAATAGCACTTTATCATGTTTGTATTGTCAATGTTAATGACAAAAAAAAGCTATAAACGTTGTTTATAAGTACATTCTGTAGTAAGTAGGTATATTTAGTATTAGCATTGCATCCGTGCGAAGCCGGGACGGGTCGCTAGTGTATTGATAAAATTTTAGATTTATTCCGTTTTCGCCGTGTTCCGAATTCGACTCCATAATAAAATTAAAAATTAAAAACAAATTGTATGTACAAATCGTTTATTTTAAATGGCTTAGTTGGGGCTCTAGTTTATTTTTTGCCCCAATGCCTTTGGTTACCTAGCTACGCCACTGGATACAATATTTCGCATATTTTTTTTTTATTGTTTTTTAATAAAAATAGTAAGATTAGCTACTAATCAATTTGTCAATATCTATTTTGTTTCCTTTATTAACATGAAAGTATTAAATTCTATTTTATTGCAAAAAAAAAACTAACTTCTTGATTATATTGAACTACAGTAATATACCGCTTAACGTTGTTTCGGTTTAGCGCTCTTATATTTCAGTCCGGAGATTCCCGAAATTGCTCGCATCGTTAGGTTTCCCAAAAATGTACATAACATATCCGAAACATTGTAGTTGTGTTTCTTGTACGGTACAAAAATGCATTGCATCCAAGTTGACTGTTCTGAATCAGCCAATGCCTTAAGTTGCCAGGTGACAACCCTTAGTTATAAATATTTTTTTATAGACAATACTATATGAGCCTATAAAAAAATAATAAATTTCTGTTAAGTGTACAATTTATCAAAAAGAATCAATTCTCTATAATTACAACAACATAATTTAAAACAAATTTTACGTTTAAACAATTTTTTTTAAGTGTATAGAAAGAAATAAACTTCAAGATACATTATACTATAATATTGCTCATAAACTCTTAAACCAAGTTTTATTCTTCTTTGTCTTCTTTCAAGTATCAAGATGTACCTAGATGATCTTAGATAAGATTTTATGATAGTAATAAATAGAGTTCTGTGAACTCTGACTTAAAACAGTAAGTGGCAGATCATACCTTCGATCCCTACGTCTAGATCTGCCGCTTCTTTTGGATTCACGAGATTCCAATTGTTTATTTTCCTGTGAAGCTGATGATTGTATGTTATTTGAAAAGCTAGTTGAAGTGTCACACATATCATCCAATTTGATATTTTTCTCAACTTCTTCAGTCCAGTCCTAAGATAAAAATCAAAACAAATATGTTAACATTATAAGAACAACTTCATATTACAATTAATATAAATCTCTATTGGTGTTATGACTTCTTAAGAAGAAGATTTTTAGAAGTAACCACTTATACCAAATTTTTATAAATACAACTTAAGATAAAATTTCTATACTGATCACATGTATAAATAATAAAAAACATTAACCAACAATGAAGATGGTGGAATGCTATTATAAAGTCAATATAAATATTATTGTAACATATTATTTATAACTTACCAAATTAGTCATATCTAAAAGACTAGATGTAATCTGAGATATAGTTTCATTGTCATGTTGACTATCAGACTCTTGTTTGGTTTCATCATGATTGTATGACAGATCATTATTTTCATTATTTAATCCATTTTTAAGAGCTGAAATAAGAATAAATACAAATAAAAATAAATAAAGTATTAAAATTTTTTATTAAAATATAAATTATATGTTTTACAGTTTAAAACTTTTTTTATGCAACTTAAAATGGCAAACGAGCTGACGGCTCACCTGATGGAAAGTGGTAACCGTCACCTATAGACATGAGCAGTACCATGAACATAACAAAGTATACTGTTTTGCTCATGATACCCTCCCATGCATTGTGACTCCTGAAGACTCAGGTGTTATTCCTTTGTACCCTGTAAATTCACTCCCAAATCCCACCCTTCAAACCGAAAGACAGCTATACAATGCGAAATACAACTGCTTCACAGTAGAAACACAAATGGAACAGAAGTACTGAAGCAAACAACTTTTATACAAAATCTCCCTGTGATAAAGTAATATACAAATTATCTATGGAAGATTTATTATTTTATTCCTCATTAGCAGTTACCCATACAAAATGTGTAGTTTGGCATTATAAGTATATAAGCTCTCACTGAGCTATCCCAAAAACATAGAAGCATTAATTTTAAGGATAAATCTCAAATATTAGACTTAATATCTCATGTCAATCCTAATTGTAAACACATTTTTTTATAAGCTACTATTGTTATAAGCTGAAAAATATGTACCATGATGCTATTAAGCTTCCGTAAGGGAATTAAAAATATAGTTACTCACAATTGTCATTATATTCATTTTGATCATCAATATTGTTAGACAATGCCACCACTTCATTTTGATTATCAAATACATTTGGTTCATATAAATTCATATATGAACTACTAGGAGTTGATCTTCTAGAATTTTGCACATCATAATTCTTCAAATATGAATTTATAAATTTCTCTCTATCAAAATTTTCATTATCTCTAAGCCTTCCACGTCCTCTTGATGGCAGTGTTTGAGACCAAGTCAAATTAGAGTTAGTATATTGGCCTTGATTGTAACTAGGAGAAATAGATTGACTTGAAGTATGTCTGTCTCTATATATTTGATCAAAACTATCAAAACTGTGACCTGATTGTTCTAAAAAATTCTTTCTAAATCTTGGAGGTATATTATCTATATTTACTGCATATTTAGGTCTTGATGAATCTGAAGAGTAGCCTGCTGAATTTCTCCTACCAGAAGGTGGCTTACCTCCCCCTGATATATGTCGACCTGCAGATGTCTCCATACTTCTACTATCACGATTTCTATCTACATTTTTCTCTTGTATGCAGTGAGTTGGTGACATGGATCTTGTTTCAGAGACTTGCCTAGAATGCCGATTATAATTATGGTCTTTACTTCCACTATCTTGATAATGATTATCTGCAAATGACCTATCTCTTCTTGAAGCTCCTCTAGAGTATGATCCTGAACCACTTCCATAGCCATGTTTATCTGATCTACTGAACATTTTTCTATTGTTGTACTGACTAGAATTATCAGACCTCATGTGTTTAGATTGTCTATCAGCTGGACAAGAATCACCTGATCTAGGCACGTAAAGTTGCTGTTCTGGTTTTTTGTGGCGGGCATTTGTCACAGAATAATCTTTACTTTTCTCAGTCAAAAGATCATCGTTAACAGAATTTTGAGATCCATAATTATCCATTTTTGCATCTGTACCATAACTCGAGCGTCTCAAAGGCCCACTACCTGGTTTATAAAACTTTTGTTGTGGTTTATTTCTTCTATTCTCTTTAGAGTCATCATCCATAATATCACGATTTCACATGAAATATTTAAGACAATAACATTTTATAAATTAATATTACATTAGATAGCCTTTATAAATAAAAAAAAATTAAAAAAATTCTCGTTATCACGTTAAGGTTATGTCTAAATTACCACTTGAAAATACAATAAGCATAACTATATAATTAAACTCTTGATTAAAAGAGCATCACCTTAGTAATAATTACAGATAATTGCAGTAAAAAAAAAAACATTAAATTCCTTAAACTTCAATCAAATCACTATTTTTCGACGAAATTTTTCATTTATTTATTTCAGCAGTGTCTCATCTCACAATTGTCAAACTACATAAGTAAATAACACGCTTTGCAAAGCAATTTTAACCAATAAGAAATAAGCATAGATATTATAATAGAGCATTCATTGGGTCCAAGCAAAGATTCCAAGTTACTGTTCACTGTGGACAACAGTATTGTCATAGAAAAATATTAAACCCAATGAAAATATATAATAGATAGTGAACTTAACAAAATATTTTAATGGCTACTCCAGTGCATAAAATTACTTTAGTAATTTCAACAGAGGGAAAAACGACATCACATGAGCAAAACTGCAGGCTTAAATCATATAGATCATTGAGTGTTAAAAACGGATCAAATTTCAGTTACCAAAGTGACATTTCGGAGGTTAAATTTTGGCCAAAGATTTTGACACATATTTTTTTTAAACAAAATTATGAGCGAAAATTTTCAATGTTGCAAGTTAAATTGATAACTCCCCAGATCACTCTATCTTTTAAATTTGAATTAGGAACTATTACCTCTGATATTTTTAATATATTAGTTATAAATTAACATACGTGTGTTAAATAAGATGGTATTTCGTTTGACCGCGAAATTTCGGAAAACATTGCATTAGAGGCCCTCAAATCTAGCGAATGCACCGCTTGCAAACACCTCAAGAGCTGTTCGTGAGTTACATACGTGGTTTTCATGTTTTCACACAGCTCTTGTGTCATTTGTATGTTATTCATGCACCAACCACATTCAACGTGTAGTAGATGCAGCCAGCGCGTTGTAGTTTGTCATCTTCAAAAACCTTACAACTGAATCTCACTATGAAAGTAAATGGACCATCAAGCGCACAAACTACGCGCGTGCATGACACGCATGATACGTCCACTGAATACCCTTATAATAATAATATTGAATGAATAAATTAATATTTATTAACAAGAAACATGATAGGTATATAAATGTTAACAATGATAGTAATAGTTAATAGTATAAGTTCTCATATTTTACCATAACTAGCCAGACAAAATTTTAAACTTAAAAAGTATAAATGTTAATTAAATGAATCATTAAAAAAAAATATATCAAATACAATTCCATATCAGTTTGCTGGTCATACCTCCTGACCGGTTGTTACGTTCACCACTATGAGAACAGTTGACAAATGCCTCTGACTATCCTTTAAGGAATTACAGTCGCGAGCATATATATATTTTAATGCAGGTCCAGAATGTTTTGAGTTACAAAAGTCAATGATTAGCCTTCCATCGGAATTTATATTGCATTACTATGTCTTTTCATCAGTAATAAAGTCACTGTCAAATCATGGACTACTGATAACAGCTGCATTATAATACGATCGGTAATTTAACTAGGTAAGTATTTTTGTGTCAAAAACTTTTGCTCACTGTAAAAGGACTCCTCAACAAGCCAATGTTTCAGTGAATTCATAAATTTTCTAGTATTAGTATTAGTAGAGTTCTCGTATACTTTTTGATATCTTGTTATAAATTTTGATTGTCATTAAATCATAATTTTTATGCTAAAGCGTACTTTTACAGATAGAATCTCTTGCATGAGTTGCGCTAAAATATAGCATATGTAAAGCGTGTATGTACTTCGTGAGCAACGCTTCCGCAAGTTTTAGACGCGCGATAAAGATCGTAAATTTTAGTCTCGCCTACACTAAACAATTGTATGTTAATTTAAATTTACAAGTACTTTTTGGATTATAAAAAAAATACTTATCTTATAAGTAATGGAAGATTTATCCCTGCAACATATATTTCTGACCAAAGAACAGTCTTTTATGATATTTCCCAGGATAAGGCCCATTGTTGTTTATCTAATATATAAAATTCTCGTGTCGCGTTGTTTGTTACCAAACTCCTCCGAAACGGCTTTACCGATTTTTATGAAATTTTGTGTACATATTGGGTAGGTCTGAGAATCGACCAACATCTATTTTTCATACCCCTCAATGATAAGGATGATCCACCTCTAAATATTTATTTTTTATTTTTTTGACAATTTTTGTTATTTTTATTTAATTATTATTTAGCATAGAAAAATATATACAGTTTCAAATTTTCACCCTTTTATGATCAACGCCTATTTTTTAATCGCGATTTTTATATACCGCAAAACGAGAACGAAACCGGCCTCCTTTCTGTTACTCTCTATACAGTTTTCGTCCATTTTTTTGTTTTATTTCTGTCTCGATCGTAACAGTGACTGTTATACGACATCATATCATTTTAAGTTTTCAGTGCAACTCTCATGTTAATTTTACTTTTATAGTTCATGTTAATTTAACTTTCACGTTTCGCTCTCGATGGAGGTCAACTGTGCTATGATTCCTGGCCGATAGGGGCCCTATATTTATACTGCACTATAACCGCTGGCCATTGGACCAACGGCAAACTAGTCTCCTCACCCCCTATGTGCAATTTTATTATGTCATCTCTATTTTTACATATTTTTAGTCACTTTAGGCGAATGTAGGGGTTTCTGATGTTTGTGTTTTGGATTAGTTGCAATCCAGTATCAGCAATTTTGTTTATTTACATGTTCATTGAAATGGAACTTTGCTTCATCCGAAAAAAATATGTTGGTAAACGTTGAAAAGCGCTTACCAACATATTCTTCCACAAAAGCAAGTCAAAAACATAACAAATGGCATACAATACAACTGAATACATTGATACATTTACATACATACATTTAATTTTTTTAAAAGTCATTTATTGAATAAAAATTGCTTTTCAGTAACCATTTTTTTAACCGTAATTTAAAGTGACTTACTAGTAGTTCTCTTATTGATTTTGGTATTTTATTATATATTTTAATAGTCATTATATCACAGTTTTGTTGATACAGTGTGGTTCTGCAGATGGGCAGTTTCAACATTGTGGGATCTCTTGATGTGACTTTATTTATATTCGAAAGTTTTGTAAAAAATTGTGGGTTTTGTTTAACAAATATTCCTACTTCATAAATATACATGGATGTAAGGGTTAATATTTTTAATTTTTCAAATAATGGTCTACATGTATCTGTTGGTTTTACACCACAGATAGCTCTAACACATTTTTTCTGTGCTATAAAGACCTTTTTCAACATTTCTACGCGTTACAGTCGCTGAATTACCGTTTTTGTAAAACTCAAAACACAACACACGGTCCAATACCGAAAAACGCTCTAAAGCGACTAAATTCCCAAAAGCTAGACTACCGAATGACATACCCCCGCGCCCCTCAGAATAGTTGCGTACAAGCAATAAATTACCAAAACAAATGTCACCTTTCTTTTGAAACACCTAGTATTTTGGGAAAATTCAACGAAGAAAGAATTTGTATTTAAAGCTGAAAAAAAAGATGCCATGTTTAATCTTAAAAATACTGACAGTTGTGTGCCTTATTTCAAACAATATAATATATTGACAGTACCTTTATTGTACATATTTGAAGTGTGTGTATTTATTAAAACTAATAAGAATTTACTTCCACGTCTTTCAGAAATTATTAAACGCAATCGATGTGATAATGATAAGTTATATCTAAAAAATTTAGTACAAAACTTATGCATGACAGTATATTATGTATGGCACTAAAAATCTATAATAGAATACCAAAATCTGTAAAAAAATCACCAACTAGTATATTTAAGTACAAATAAAAAAATTCTTAATGGAGAAATGTATGTGAATTCTTTAATAATAAAATTTGACATAACGAATATTTATTTATATTTATTACCATTATTATGACATTGTTCTTTTATTCTTGCCTGACAACTATTATTATTATTTATTTAAATGTATTTTGTATGACATTAAATTGATATATAATTTTGAACTGTCTGTGTAAACATATTTTTGTATGCCGTACAGGCTAAACATGTTGAATGAGATTGCATTGTTAACATCTGCATGTATTTATACACATGTATTACAAATAAATAATTTGCATATCATGTTCTGAATTTTGCACATGATATACAAATATACTTGACATAATGGTATAATCTTAAGATAAAATGTGTTCCATTGACCACAAACAATCTCATGAACTAAAATATTTAGCTAGACTACCCTCATTAGGAATTATAGTTACAGGAACTTTGTTTGTGGTATTTATATGTTTGAAGTATTTTTTGCCCAAATCCTAATTAGTACTTTTAATGAAATGACATTTCATATTATATCATTATTATTTTTTATTTATCTTTATTATTTTTAAATAATTAACTAAGACTATTATTAACCTATTTAATAGGTAGTATTTTTTATTTTGAACAGTCCTATCCTAAGATATGTAACTATTTTAAAGATTTCCGCAATAGGCAAGTTTTAAGGTAAAATGAAAACAAAAATAAAGTAAACTTTTCCTTTCATACTAATTATGTGCTCTGTTAAATAAAAATTTGTAGTTTCTTTAAATTTGTGTGATAAAATTGAAATTTATAGTTACGTAATTACTTTACTTTCTGTTTTTAATTGCGTGGCATTTTCAAATAAAACATATGGTAACCCTGATGACGTCAATTGTCAATTTTAGAAAGTTGTCTATTAATATAGAGTGATGTACACTTTTTGGTACTTGAAATTAATGAAATCTCTTTGATTCCACCTTGAAAATATCAAAAGTGTTCATTCCATTATGTTTTCAACCTGCAAAATTGCAATGGGTTCGTAACCCGTGTGTGACGTTTAATTTTATTTATTTATATGGAATATAAATTGTACATTTGTATAGTGTTAATAAGTATAACAATTGTGTTTATTTTTACCAATATTTTAAATATTGTTCATGATTAAGAAATAATGTCCTTCGATTACTTGCCTGTGGCTGAAGACGAAAACGAAGAACCCATAGAATTACCTATCGAAGAAGATGGAACGTTAATGTTAACAACGGTGTCTGCGCAATTTCCTGGGTGTTGTGGCCTAAAGTATCGACATCCTGAAACGAAAACTATCAGAGGTATCCGATTAAGAGATGGTAGATTATATCCTCCTCCCGAAGGATGGGGCAATCATCTTTACATTTGCAGTTTTCCTAAAGAAAATAAACGTAAATCTGGCGAAAACTCTGAAACATCTTCGATAAAAAACAAGAGAAACGATAATCTATGTTCAGATTTAATCGTGTTGGGCTTACCATGGAAAGCAACAGAACAAACTGTACGAGAGTATTTCGAAAAGTTTGGCGAAGTATTAATGGCGCAATTAAAAAGGGATCCAAAAACTGGAATGTCTAAAGGGTTTGCTTTCATTAGATTTGCGTCATATTCATCACAGATGAGAGTATTGGCACAGAGACACATGATAGATGGCCGATGGTGTGATGTTCGAATACCTAACTCCAAAGAAGGATCAGTCACTTCCATGCCATGTAAAGTGTTTGTGGGTCGCTGTACAGAAGAATTGACAGCTAATGATTTACGGGAATACTTTTCTCAATTTGGCGAAGTGACAGATGTCTTTATTCCAAAACCTTTTAGAGCTTTTAGTTTTATAACGTTCTTGGATCCAGAAGTAGCACAAAGTCTATGTGGTCAAGATCACATAATTAAAGGTGTATCAGTGAATGTATCCAATGCGTCACCTAAGCAAAATAAGAGTGGTGCAAACCAAAGGAATTTACCAAGCAGAAACTATGAAGAGGGGCATCCACACAATACTTCAAACAATAATTCATGGAGTAGCCGTAATATGGATATGGTCAACATGCAAGCACTAGGTATGTCTGGTCAGCATGGCCAAACTGCAGTAGCTGCTGGTGGAGGACAGGCACAGGGTGGTAGTATGCCGCTAGGCATGGGAGGATTGCCTGTCAACCAAGCTCTTGTAGCAGCACTCAATCAAGCAGCTGGTTGGGGGCTAATCAACAATATGCCATCTGGGGGCTCTGATCAGGGGCCTTTTGCGGGTCCCACATCTTCTGCTCCTCCAGGGCCACCCAACATTCTTTCATGGATGCAACAAGGTAACTCGGCACAGGGACCTTCTAGTCAGTGGGGACAAAGACACCAGTCCCAAGGCCACTCTGTTTGATCCAATATCTGATTCAACAAGCTCATGATAATCACTGTGATTGTAGCAACAATTAGATAAATTATCATTATGTTTTATCTGCAACAATATGAATGGGATGTTTTGTCAATAAGAGTGGTATATCTATGTTTGCTACAGATGTTATTAATTTATTATGGAATTGCTTTTGTGTTTTGTTGATTTTCTTGAAACCTATATTATTATTATTATGATAAAGTGTATACATATAAAATGTGGAACATATATGTTTCAAATCATAGATACATGTCCTATTAATAGGAAAATAATAAAAAAGTAATAATAGATATTGTTGTGCTTTTGTTTACACAAAATTTTGAAAAATAATTTTTAAATTATTTATTCACAATATAAAACATCACAAACTTCTATGCTTTTATTGGATTACTAAATTTTCTGATGTAATATTAAAAAGTGCCCAAAAACTTACTCATACACATAATTACATAACAAATATATACTTATGTAAAAGTACATTTAACACTTTAAAAGTACTGAGAAACATGTCCAGGTAACAGGTTAAATTGAATTGAGGACTTGGTTTAGGATGATAGTGGGTGATGTTATTATTTTCTTCATAAAATAAATCATAGTTGATCCATTCATTGCTGCATTATGCATATAAATTTGTAGAGTATAAAAATAATTGTTGCTGATTACTACTCAATTAATTGAGGGGAGAGGGACTATATTGTGTATTATGTACTTATGTAAAATAAAACAATATTATTGTATATAATCAGTCTTTTATCTGTAGGTACAAAATGAAATCAAGCTGCATTGTCAAAGCCTATTCAGTCACAGCCTTATAAATAAAGACCAATTTATTAGGTGGGATGAGATCCCATTAACTATTATTGTACACAATGAATGGATTAAGTATCCAAGTAAATATTAATAGTTTTAATGACAATATGTCAAATATTTTGTTTATATAATAATTTTTAGAGTCAGTCTGAAATATTTTCAAATCACATTTTTTATTTATTACGTACATATTTATCAGCATCAGAAGCTTTTTTTTAAATAACAATTGCAATATTTTTAACTAAATACACAATGTAAATATCTTTATGTTCTAAATATTTGCAAGTAAATAATGAAGGGATTCATAGATATAATACATTTTGGTTTAGATTTGCCATAATACTATTTATTTTAAAACAACTACATCTAATGAATTTAGATGAATTATAATTTGTACATTAATGGGTATATGTTTCTTACAACAGGCTGTTAAAAGTTCATACCTGTATTGTAAAAATAGAAATCTATTGTATTGTTATGATTGTTTATCAAATAATGTTGTTTATTATAAATTTATTGTGTGTTTCCTCTGGTGGATGTGGACATGAAATTGAAGACAGATGTCTATTTTTGTCAATATAATGATTAGAATATATTTGTGAGTAAGCATTGTGGGATTGTTTATTGAATGGATAGGTAGACATAAATTATACACAGTAGGTACTTGACATGTACACAATAGCCACTGTATATTTTAGAACAATTTGAAAGTGTGGGTTTAAACAAATTCAAGACTGAACAATGTTCAAAGAAAGAATTATTAAAACAGTAGTAATTATAATTATTAGGTCACCAATATTATGTTTAATGCAGTGAAATAACTATTGTAAATGTAACTGAATAACACATTTAAAAACAAAACTTGGCTTAATATTTTTATTCTTTTCAATTCCTAAATTTAAAAATAAATCCATTTCAGTAAATTTATATTTATTAATTAGATTTTATATAATAAGCACTTGTACCTTAAAATTGTTGAACATATATTTTGAAAATCACCATCCTCAGACCAATAACAAATTTGTTAATGATTACCAACTTCATTTGCTTGCATCATTCAGTTAATGAACATTTTGATTACTTAAAATTTAATAAGATTAAAATAAGTAAACAATAGATTCAGTATGAATCCTGGGATCTGGGCCTGAGACATTGTAAGGCAGTAGCCTAATAATTATAGTAACTTCACTGTTCTGAAAATTTTCAGTGACTACATACCTATTAGTCTTTAGTGAAAACCATATTCGGTAATTCTGCTAAGCGACTAGTACCTAGTTATACGTTATTGTGGTGTTACTATAACTACAAGTACAACATACAGAAAATGTCATTAGTTTTGATATAATAGATAGATACGAAATATATATATCACATATATTTATTTCTCTTACATTGTATTTTGTGTATGAGGTGAAACGGAAATGATATAACCATATGAAATCCGGGGATAATTTTAGATAATTCGTGAATGCTTACTCTAAGCAGTAAACATAATATGAAAATAATTATTGGCTTATCCTTTCGTTCATACAAATTGTGTGGACATGTGATCGGGTGTAGCAGGTTTAAACATTATTTTATACAAAGTTTAATGTATAGACAAGCTGTATATAGGTGTAATAAATATATTTCAACCTATAATATGTTATACGTTCGTGAACATACCTTATACCGTTTCCGTTACACCCTGTATATTTAATTTATTAGGAACTTTAATTTTTGTTGGACTAGGTACCAAGAGCTTAAATTATACTTATAAAAGTATGGAATTGCAATTAATTTTCTTTTACGTGGATGTTTTTGCTTGATTTGTTTGTTATAATAACTTATACAATTTGGCCATTTGTTGTTTGGTTCTAATTTATATGCATGTTGGTATAATGTATAAATTTTGCGTGACTTGTGTAGTAACTATTGAAAAATTAATTTTGTTAAATTTTAACATAATAAGTCAATTTGTGTCGCCAATATATTAATTGATGTATACTATGATGTCCATTCGTATGCAAAAATAAACTAGGTAGGTATGGGTAGGTACCTACTTATTATAGTAAATAAAACAAAAAAAATGAAAATTTAAGTTCTCAACTAAATGCAAGAGAATGACAAAACGATTTAGATAGTAGGATGCACCAAGATCAATACCAGTTTCACAAAGTTCTAAAATATTTACCTAGTTGAGTATTGGAGTCATATTATATGAACATAAAATCAAATTATTATAGTAGCATTGGGTATAATTATGAAATTAAAATACTGTTTTATTCGAAGTAGGTATTAGACGCGTATAAGTTATAAATGACAAGTACTCGTAATGGAAGCAAATAATTATACGTATTATTATTTTAAATGTGAAATACACAAGTAATATAAAATATGCACCAACTTAGCTATCATAATATTAATTTAAAAAAATAGTGCATAGTCCAAATTGTTGTTTATCGGTTCAATCATATTTCAACTGCCAAGTCTCATCTACATAAATAGGCCTAAAGTTCTATAAAAAAAACTGCCATTCTATAAGATCAAATCTAGGAACAAAATTTTAATAATAGGTACAATTCTGTAGAAGCCTATCAGATTAACAATGATTTCCCGTAATAATAGTATTTACATATTAATATTACAATTTAATAACAGTTTCTAATTAAATAATTTTATTTGTAACGACATTTATTTTTATATTTTATTACAAAAATAAAAACTACAGTAAATAATTTAAGTAAACTGACAGAAAAAGCTGTCTTTCATTATTTAGTACTTACATTTATCGCGATTGTGGAGATTTTTTTATAAAGTATCTGGCAGGTCATTTGACTTTTCATTAATGTATTGTCTTAAAATAGGTATGTACCTACCTTGCAACATAATAAATATTACATTACCAATTTATAATTACGTGTCTATTAATAGACATTGACTTCAATGCTGTTTGATTTCTATTTTATAGTTTAAAATAAATTTTTAGTGCTGAGGAATGGGCGCACAAGAGGGGTATCTTGGGCGTCACAGTATATTTTGTAGAGGGTCACAGTGAAAAATAATATTCTTAAGAGCCAAAATATATATAAAACATGTAGATACAAGACGAGACAACCATTTGAATAGAAACAAAAAAGATATAATATCAACATTCTTAAATTTAGCCAGACGTTATGCCCACAAAGAAGTTTCAATATATTTGTGTTTAAAATTTGATAAATTTCAAAGGTACACAGTACACAAAGGACACTTTGTCACATTTTATTTAAAATATATCACTACGAAGCTATCTATTGATTTGATACCTGTAGTTTATATGTTTTTGTTCATTAAAAAACTATAAAGTTAAAAAAAATTATAGGTACAAGCATTGCTCTGAAATTCACTGGACAAATACATTTATTTAGTCATTATTGAATTCCAATAATTAGATCATGACAGACATCGATCTGGAATTGCGCACTTCCATAAAAAATAGAAATAACTTGAAGTCCTAGTATAATGGCTGTTTCATTAAATTAGTGTCATGCTATAAAATAAACAATTTTAACTATTAACTATGATTATAATCTCAGCATTCCCAAGTGTAAGGACACACGTCTCCTGAAACCACTCTACTGACACGCCATTTAATAAAATCTTATACCTGACAATATAGTTTGAATTTCTATATTAGGTATAGGATTACTTTTTAAATTGCCAATTTCTAAAGTAAAACCAAGATGTCTCGTGGAGTTATGTGCCCACCGCCATCTTCCCTGCGCTTTTCCATAGCAACATTTAATTGATCTATTCGTATTTTACCTATTTATTTTGTCTTTTACAGTTTTTTTTTTTTTTTTATGTTTAAAATTGACAAAACGCAATCATGAATAAGAGCAGCACTTGTTGTTTTTATAAATTTAATTCAATGATATGTTGACCCGATTACATACCTACTTAGCAATATAAACTTTAATTGTTTGAACATAGCGGTTATATTTAAAGCGTTGGTACCTAAGAAAATAGTGAGAACCCAAGCAAGCGTCTAAGTAATTTACTAAAAATAATTTAAAAAATCTATAGAATTTTATGCGTATGCGTGTGAATTTGTTCTGATAAGCAGCGATTAGGAAAAATTCATAGTCTTGAACATTAAAAACGCGAAGTAGAGTGAGCCAAAAATTTTTAATATATTTAAACCATTATTTATTTTTCTATTATAATAACCTGAGGTTACCTACACATATAAAGGACTTTTTTGTCGTCATTTATTACAAACGGTTTAATTTTTAAATTGTAGGAGGTGGGTTGATAAAGAATGTAATATCATTCTTATCTTTTTTTAATCATTAAAAGAATACCTACCTATATATAAAAGTGTGTCCACAAAAGGTTTTTTATGATATAATACACGTAACAAAACGGCATATTAGACAATAAAATCAAGGAATCAGTGTGAATTGCCCGTTTACCTTAAAGATTAAAATAAAATACGTTATGCCATGATTTGTAACATTTAGCTCAATGCTGGTTTTTATTAATCTTCACTGAATACCAAAACTGGTTAATATTGTGCAGTAATACGAAAAGTACAAATACGCATGCAACATAATTGCTAGATAACCACCTTGATTAGTATCTGAACGATTATTTAAGGTGCTCTACGTCATTACTCTTAAAAAGAGTGGTGAAATGAATGTAAGAGATGAGTGTAAAGAAAAGAATTCTTCGTAAACTAGAGATAATTATTGTCGGAGTCTATTTAATGTCTGTGTGCATTGGTGTGGTGGTTAGTCGTGTATTTGATGTTTGGCATAATTTATTGTACATACCACATAGTAGCAATGATCGATAAAATGTGGCGTGAATTTAAATCCTCCATAAGAACTTCTTTGGTAGATTTTTCGTATGTTTAAGGTGTCTATAATATAATCTATTATTTTGATGTATACATGGATATCAACATTAGAATATATCTACATAAACATATATACATACATATATGGCTATTTTTACATGAGTAAAAGCAGATTAATCCGATGTAGTTAACGAGTAACGTATATACCTACATTTTATTGTTTCCACTGGATGTTCTCCGAGAGTATGTTCATAAAGTCATTATTATATTTTAAAATTGCTATTATAGGATACCTGTCCAAAATATTAATATATACCTACTATTATTTAACTTCCCCCTAACTAAATCATGTTTAAAATTATATATATGTGCTTTATTTACACTACCTTTAATCATTCCGAATTGTTCATCAATAGCCTGTATAAATCAATATTAATTTTATTCCACCAGATAAAAAAAAATACAAAGCGTTCGAATAATTTATATTTAAAATAAAAATATGTACCCAAATAACACAGTTTTAATAAGTGTGTAATAATATTAATAATCTAACTCCGGTGTATTTAAATTCTTATGCATGAACTTCAACAAAGTATAACAATCTTATGAATCTGTTTATCCAATGATACATGATACATTGTCTAATGGTACCTAATGTCTGGTATGGTGTTTCAGGAAAACAATAGTTCAGTCTCGATAATTACTTAATATGTTTCCTTTAAAGGATTATATTAATATATTTGAGTTCAGTTTTCAGGAAGGAACTTTTATAAGTAGGTACCTTATCCGTCCGTTTAATTTGTAACTAACTGACCCGACAGACATCCTGTCCTAACGTCAATGCGAACTCTTGTTGGATACGAGTATATCACTTTAAAGCATTAAATATGAACGCATGCTTACTTCTTTCTGCACTTTAACTTTATAATGTCATGACAAATACATAAACAATTATAACATAAACGAAGGTACAAGTGGTGTTCCAAGTGATGTGCTTACCAACTAAATATACTTAGTGTGTGTTATACCTGGTTATACAAAGACTTCGTTACGATCTTATTCTTGTAAATTAACTACGCCTCTAGCGGATAGTTTTGGAAACTCAGATTTCCATACAAACTTGTCAATGTGAATGTGATCACTCTGTTGTATTCATTTCATTTTTATTTACTTAGATTTATAATTAAATCTTCGGTAAATAGAGTTGGATTAATACTTAAATCATTAGTTTTAAAAAAACTGTCATTATTAAAGGAATATGGTTGTTGCTGAGATCTATGTAAAAAAATATTTTAATTTTATTTATTCAAATCTATAGAGAAAGCGAAAGATAATGGCTATGCAATCCTAACTCTATCGCCTTGTACAAATCGAACTGCCACGATCAATAGTAACCGTAGTACGTACCTAGGCATGAGAAAACTATAAGTGTAGTTTACTGGAATGCATTCTAATTCCAAGTTGGGATTGCATAGTCAATCGTTGTGATTCTTATGTAATATGATTATTACTTTTCCCACAAGATAATTGTCTGTCTATTACATATTTTAATACTTGAAAAAAAAATGTATTTAGATTTGTCAAATTGTAATTATCCGCAGTACCTACCTATCCAGAAGGAGCAAAATAGGCTTTCAGAACCTACTTTTGTTGGTATCTAATTCTAATGTTTGATAATTAGCCATGACGCCAATATAGCACTGTTTCACCCTAAATGACTAAATACAATTAAATACCTACTCGTTTTACTACAAACGATCTTTTTGCACTTGGTGAATATGCACACCTCGTTATTTGTTGCTCCGTGATGTTAAAATTACTAAATATCTATGTGCTAGGCAGATTTTACATGTAATAAATGATTGTACATTATTTGAGTGTGAATAATGAATACTTATTGACATGAATTCATGAAATAAAATTTATTTAGCGTTGCAATTTTGTTTTATTTCTTCTTCTTTTCTTTAATGGCAATCGGTGGTTTTTTTTTCACGACCGTTTCTGCCAACGTAATTTTTTTTATGCAACTTAGGCAACAAGCTGATGGCCCACCTGATGGAAAGTGTAACCGTTAATAACCGTTGCCTATAGACATGAGCAGTACTATGGACATAACAGAGTATACTGTTTCGCCCATAATACCTCCGATGCGTTGCCAATCCTGAGGACTCAGGTGTTATTCCTCTGTATCCTGTAAATTCATTCGTCATGTATAAGAGGCTCGTACTGATGGTGAAAATTACATCTGTAGGACTCGTCTAATTTTGGACTTTTTGGTATAAAAAAAATCGATATTAAGACCAATTCTGAAGCATCTCCCAACCATTTCATTTCATTCCATGTCTATAAACATCTCCCAACTTTAGAGATAGATTTAAAAAAAAGGCGCCTAGATTACAAAAACTGTGATTTATACATATAAGAATATCTATACAATTGTTATTTGAAACTAAAGTAGCCACTTTACACGAATCATAATAGAGTTCATTCCGTTTGTATAATATCTAGAGTATATTTTCATAAGCGGCCCTTGATATCACGTAACCAGTTTACGATATCGGATAATTATTCGATATTTGCTATCGATCTTTACATTTGACATGTTTTGTTTTATCAAGCAAACATTACAGTCTCTGCAGTGAAGAAACTAAAATTACAATTAAGAATTAGTTATTAAGTCTATATCTACTGTCACTTTGTGATCAACAAATAGCGTTGATTATCAGACAAAAATGTACCTATCTAACGATTGATCACGCATCCTTCCTTTCCGTGGGTGTCGTAAGAGTCAACTAAGGGAACTTAATGGTTGAAGGAAAGGTAGCAGTATCCCTTCAAAAACATCACCAAATCTAACTAACTTAACTTGCCAACGCACCTGCCAAACGTAAGCCACGTTTACTGGCAAAATCTTTTCAGCAGTGGACAGTTAAGATAAATTGTGCTACGTAATTTCATACGCTTAATACTTAATAATATTTCTTATACTTTTTTTTTTTTTACAACACAGGCGGCAAACGAGCATGCGGCTCACCTGATGGTAAGTGACTAAATACTGTTCGAATTCTCTTCATTTTTATAATTTTATTTTTCATTTCGGAGTTTTAGAACCTCATGCATTTTGTGTGCCAAAATAAACTACTGCGCACAATAGATGTAGATATATAATTATTATAGATATATAAACGGTCGTAAAACTAAAAAACAATTCTTTTTGTAATATGGATAAAACCATATTACGCCGTCCCCAAATGATTGGGATAAGGGTAGGAAAATGATGATAGATATATAAACTTAAATATTAAGTTGTTTCGAGGAACAGATGGCACGGCCTATTCCATTTTCATCTCATACCATAAAAGAGACCTTGCTAGTATAGCTGTTTAACAGATCGCCTCTCCTTCTAATGGCAATAGCTTCGATCTCCGCACAACAGAAACATATCTACTAGTCTCACACCTTGTTTGTTTCATATTTTCTTTGTATACTTAATATGTATTTAAAATTATAGTAAATATGTCTGAATTATTCCCATAATAGCATAACTATCAGATGGTGCTCGTGGTATATGCCCAGTGATAATAAAAAACTTGAATAAGTTGTATTCGAGTAACAGTAGTTGACTACTATATTAATTTAACCAATTTATGGAATAGTAAATAATCTTTGACTAGAAATGTAACAGAAGATAGATACCTACTCTCAGCACGGGCCCTATAGTAAATTCTCTCAAGGGATACTTGGATTCTTTTACGTTATCAAATTTCATTATGAGGGCAAACAAGCATACGGCCAGTCTGATGGTAAACGGAGTTACCACTGCAAATGGATGCCTGAAACACCAGGAGCTGACCTTTAATGGTATTAAATAAAACAAAACTCTTCCAAACAAACTTTTCTGAATTTAATTTGGGCAAAATTTAGAAATAATACTGTTAATATCAACTTCTCAAAGCAAATCGTATGCAATAATTCATCAAAGTGAGGTGATCAAGATGTTTTAGCTCATTTTGTCCCTTAACTCATTTTTAACACATTTGAAGTTGAGAAAGAACATTCACTACTGCATTGATGGCCATAAGAAACATAAATGCGCTTTTATTACTTTAGATAATTTTGTACGGTTAGAAAACTTTGGTGCGCGGTACCAGTAACTTTGCTACGTGGGTAATTCGCCACTGGATACCCTTCTAACGACCTAATTTATGATAATATGACACGTATATATGTAGATATAAAAGTAATACAACAAATAATTAAATTAAGAACCACCTAATATTGTCTGCAAATAAATAGGAAGTTTTCAGGTATTAACTGAACGTTTTCAAAGATATAATAATCAAGTATATAAAAGTGCTTAACACGTTTGAACTCCACATACCTAAATTACTTTAAACATACTATAGCGTACAGTCAATATCTCTGGTTTAGACAATTACAGCTATGACATTGACAGTGTTAGAAAATTTTTCGTTACTAGTTAACTATTTTAGGGGCGAAGAGAAATGTTTTGGATTATTAATAAAAATAATGGGGTATGGAACTACAACGGAAATCTTTTGTCGGCCCGACAGCCTCTTCTAATTTGAAATCTGCGCGTAAAAGCTTCGCAGTAACAAGACCTTATGGCAAGAGTAATGCTGCTCAAAAAGAAATAACAGTACACACTAATACTCCCCATTTGGAACATAAATCTTTTCATAATGAACAAAATCAAGTGTATCAAGGAGAAGTAAATTTGCTTTCAGTCATGTATGTACCTACTTTCTAACTTTCAATATCACTTACATCTAATTCTTTTTGTCATTAAGTATTTACCAATCCATTATCCATTGCTGAATATAAGTCTCTTATTATATTTAAACAAAGTATAATCCCAAGTACATACACCAACTGACTCCCTCCTACTTTTGAGATCATCACTTCCAATCGTGAGATCACACCACGCTGTTTTCATGCATGGGGTCGCTAACCTTTCTTACGAGGGGGAAAGGGATTGTTAGTAATGGAGACTGAGAATCCTATTGCTGGCAATATGCCCAACCAGGTCGACAGATTGAAATTCCTCGCGGTTCTCCCTTTAGTTAAGGGAGAACAGATAGAAAAGGGCAGGTGGAAACATGTAATGCACAAAAATATCAAATACACAATAATTTATCATGATTAATTCCTGATGAATTCTTAATGATGGGCCAACTGACCTGTTTTCATTCTCATCTATCACCCTTCACTGGTGCTCCGCCAGCATATATATATCCCGTTAGCGCAGGCGGGGTTACCATACACATTTTCACACACACAAAAAACCTTTCTTACGGTTATTGGTTACTTAAACTATGTGAACAACTTCTTGGCACTTCGGTTTTCTGATACTTCGAAATCTATCAGTCGCTTTAGATCTTTTGTAGAAATTGGTTACAATCACGAAATGATATAATTGACTTCAGAGTCCTGACTTCTGAAGTCAATTAGTTTAAATCACGTTAATGTACGTAAGAACACTAATATTTATATTTCAGAGATACGACCAAAGACATTATGTGCTGTAAATATACCGAGGACTTCAATGACCTGGCTGCTGGATTCACGGATGGTACTATTAGACTTTTTGACTGCAACACAGGCAATTGCACTCACACATTGGTGGATGACGAGTGTCGTGCATATCCCGGCCCAGTGACAACCATCAAACATCGCCCTGTCAGCAAAGCTCGCCCAATCACTAACATGCTTTTAGCATCATGTTAGTGTTTATCTATTATGTTTATTTTAATATAAAAATAGATGTTAGTTAATATATGACTTATCGCATTCTGCATGAGTATAGGTAAAACTTTTATTCATACTAGAAAAAAATATATTTCTAGGAAATATATTTTTTATTTACGTTACTACGGTAGCTACTTTCAGAAAAAAAAATAACGTACATCAAAACTACGATCGGTTTAAAAAAAATTAGGGTATACGCCGCTTGCGTGTAGTTGTGGTGTTGCTATTAGTTTATGCTGGAAGTATGATGTTAAGTCAGACATGACAACGACGTTTACTTCTTACATTCATTTCTGCTGATATTCTCTCCATTTCGATCGCTCGCCTCTTACACTTCTAATTTCCGTTTTTTATATATTATTTTTCTACATACTCCTTTGTATATATTTCCCTTCTGTATATATGTGAATAGACAAAGTTAGTTGTTATACTTATTTCCTCCGAACAACTACAAAGACAAGCTAGCAATAGGGCCACTAACACTCATTACTAACAATCCCTTCCACCCTAGAAGTACCTTTATGAATTAGCGCCATTTCCAAAGAACCGTGTCCCGTTTTGGGCCATGACGAGTCTTGAAGTAGCTTATATATCATTAGATAGTGCATCGCCTATATCGATAAAATATATTGTTCTTATGAACGTATTTGGTGGAGATACCTCGTTAAAGGAACCCATTTCATTTGTGAAAATATCGCCTATAATTTATCTGTGAAATATTATAGGGCTTTGTAATTCTCTTTGCGACCAGAGCACCTCCTTGCGGTGTCGGTGGTAACGATCAAAATTAAAACTTTAAGGCCGACAAAAACATGGAAGGAAAAGACTCAATAAAATCTTTCTATTGTACCTGGAAAAATGGGGCTCAAACCGTAGGCTGTTGTACTCATATAGCAACTATTATTTGGTATTTAGGGTATGCAAAATGGGGCTCAAACCGTAGGCTGTTGTACTCATATAGCAACTATTATTTGATATTTAGGGTATGCAAGGCTTCTGACACAGCCAATAAAATTTCCATCAATAGAGATGGGAGACATATTTTTAAGATTTGAAAGTTCTGATGAAGAATCTTCACAGATATAAATGTCAATTAAGTCATTGTTGGGTTGCCTATAAACATATGCCCACTTTGAATAATAATGAAACTATTTTTCCGTGACTATACTCGTGAACCCCTAACCGTTAGTATGCGATTCATCAATGGACGCCCCATGGCCCAAATCGGGATATGGTTCTTTCATCGTACTTTTTGTGTTATAATAATATGATCAGGGCTACAATAAGAGCTGTACGTACAAAAAAATATATATATTTTAGATGTTAATGGATGTATAAAATGCTGGAAATATAAGTATGATCAGTGTTTGTATACAATAAGGGAAAAACGTCAGGCTTTAGGACTTTGTTACCATCCACGCTATACTAAATTTGTTACGTATGGAGATGATGGCAAACTTAACATGTACGATGAGGAAGCACAAACGCAAGAAAGGGCATTCTATTCCAGGTATTTATTTGAACGTGTTATAATGATTAGATACTATGGATATATATAAATTGGTATGGTACCTACAATAATTCGCAGAACGACAAAATGCATAAATCTTTGTAACCTCGAATCGAAGAGAGACGGATTAACATAGATACTGATAATAATTAAGTGGGCATCTAACGTTTATGTAAAAATTTCAATATATATAACTAATATAGGTTTTTAGCAAAATGATTAATTTATGACGAACAGTATTTAGGTAATACATGCCATTATACATATCTAATATAGTACGTAATTTTAATTATGGTAATTTGATTTTGTTTAAAATATGAAAAGCATTAATCATTAACGTAATTAAAAAAAAAAAAAAAAAACGGTGGAAGGCTCCACTTCTACTATGCGGAAATGTGATAGCTATAATCAACAATTTAGTTTCTTAATATTTGTTCATAATTTTAGTCAAAGAAAAAACATAATGGATGGTCACACGTCAAGAATATTTGCTTGTGCTTTCAACCCCCAATCTCATCATGAATTAATATCTGGCGGATGAAACAACGTTGTCATATGTTGGGATGATAGACAACCATACGCCACCCGATATTTCTTCGGAGTCCACATGTGTGGAGAAGGATTAAATTTCGACAAACCTGGAAAACAAGTAAGATACAGAAAACGATTAAATCACAATCCTTACTTGAATAACTAATAATAATAATAATAAGCGAACAAACCTGATATCGTGGTGATGGATCGGGCACTCTCGAGGGTGTTTTTGATGGATGTCACCATACCGCATGAAACCTACCTCGTGAAAGCCGAAACCGAGAAGAAGAGAAAATATCTCGACCTGGCTCACGAGGTGACCGAAATGTGGGGGGTGACATCTACCGAAATCATCCCAATCGTTATGTCGGTGAACGGTCTTATCCCAACCAGTCTGGAACAATATCTCAGACAGTCGAGATTCCGAGGCGGCTCACTCCCGGGAAAGATGCAGAAAGCGGTGCTCTTTGATTCTGCCCGCATTGTACGCCGGTTTCTCCGACTGTGCTTTTGCCGGGGGTAAGTTTGCCATGTTTGAGATGTGAATTTTCTAAAAATTTAAAATTACGAGTATATATATATATATATATCGAATTTGATAGAATAAAAAACAACCAATATTGTCTTTATAACTAATCAAACCCTTAAGAAGTATAGGTTTAAATATTATTGGTACTCGTATCGCTGTTTCATCCATGTCTACCGCCAAGCAAGCAAGCTGTCTTCGGATTTGAAGATTTTAACATTAATATTGAAATCTTCGATTCTCAAGAGTCGATATCACGCAAATGTCTCGTGTTGTAAGCGTTCATGAACTGTGGTTACAGGGGGGAAGGGATTGTTAGTAATGAAGACTAAAAATCCCATTGCTAACAATATACCCAACCAGGTCGACCTCACGCGGTTTCCCCTGGAAACTATCATGGTTAATTCCTAATGAATTCATCATGATGGGCTAACTGGCCTGTTTTCATTCTCACCTATCATCCCTTAGTGGTGCTTTGCTAGCGTATACCGTCAGCGCAAGCAAAAGATTGTTAATAATGAGATCTGTCGCATTGTTAGCAATATGATAGGGTATCAGGTCGACCTCCACACGGTTAATTTTTGTTAATCCTGTTGTCAGTTTTTTGTGCGCCACTTCGTACGCACAAAATAGATTATTTTTAGATGGGATATCAAAATAAAACAAACCAGATTTTAAATTCCACCTTCATGGATACATCAGTGAAATCCGTATCCAATTTAGTGCAATAGTTTCTGAGTGATACCGGAACATATAGACAAAATTTCTAAAAAATATTGGTTTGGAGACTTCTAAAAGTTCTAACATGTTTTTTTTTAAATAACATTCATGTATAGACTCCGTCTATTTACAATTTTATTATATTAGTAAGATAATAATGTATATTTAACCATAACCTGTTACATAGTGATTACTTTTTTCAGATATTAACTTGTTCTTGGCAAGAAAAAGAAAATATTCAAATATGGGATTATGGCTCATGCAAGTTAATACAAAATATAACGCCAGACAATCATCAGTCAAAGCTTTACTGTGGCAAATTTGTGCCACAGACGAATTTAATCGTGTGCGGTGGATCTGATAGCAATATATTGCGATTAATTGATATAAATATGAAAATTGTAAGTGAATGAGAAAATAATCTTGCAGCCATTCTAAGGCTGGATCTATGACTTAACTCTCATCTTACTCTTGTTTCATCAAAAAATGTTATTCGTGGTACTTTTGTCTTTTTTGTTCTTTTTCATAAAGTGAAGCATTTGTCATTAATTTTTCGTGATGTATCCGAAACTATTACACTTCTTTATAACTTTTATATCACAGAAATGTTCCATGAGAGTATAACAATTTATAACAAATTTGTTAAATAGGTGCTTCCATAGACACTAAATAAAATAACTGACTTAGTTTTACAGGAGATCTTACAACTTTTTGTACTGGAAAATATGTGTTGCGAGACTGCATTTTTTATAAATAATTATATTTTTTGTTAGGATATATATATATATATATATATATATATATATATATATATATATATATATATATATATTTTGTTTTTTAGTTGTCTAATACCCATATATATATATATGTAATACAAAGGTTATTTAATAATAATTTTCATTAATTGAGCAATTACGAGATTGCTTTCAGCAGTGACACATTTTACCTAAATATGTTTTATTACAGACGGAATGTTCTATAAGAAACAATCCAGGCGGCATATATGCTTTTGATTTTGGAACAGTCAGACGCAAGCCCAGAAAAGTACCAGACACTTATAAGAAAATTAGTGAAATTCAAAACATACCACGTGTGGCTTTTGTTACAGGAAAGAGATTGCAAACTGTAGACTTTGGATAATAATTATAAAGCTTCTATTGAAGGACCAGTATAACTTTATATATTTTTTTTAATTGTATATGTTCCTGATACTGATATATATAATAAATAAATAAATAATTCTTTTAATTCCCTATAATTAAATTATTTTTAAAATAGGTATAGTTTGTTTCTATCAAAATCGGTTCTAAAACCATGGTTAATATTTGTTAGAGTATTTGATGAAAAATTAACCTATATACTAACAAGGAACTGACAACAAAGAAATCAATCAATAATCAAATTTAAATACATATTTATCTTCATTTTCATAGCAATTTACATCATCATATATTTTTAACATAATGAAATTTCATTTAGATTTTTATTTCATTATAATTTATGGACACCAGTAACATTTTTGGTATATTATAAAAAACAAAATAACATCATATTTTGTTTTAAATAAACATCTAATGAAATAATATAAAAGGACTAAGGTTTTATAAAAAAGACCTGTTTATGTAAAAGTTGTACATCAGTTGTATTGAATTTATTCTCTCCTTTAACATTTCTCTACTCACAAACAGCCGCTTAACACAATTTACGTGATAGACAAATACACTGTGATTTCATTTTGTAAATAGCATATAAAACTCTAGAAAGATAGAACATCGAGTTTGGCAAGAATTCATAATAAATAAAAAACATAAATACTTCTACATAGTATTATATACAGGATTTGAACATCTATTATTCGACCGATTCAAGTTGAGCCTCGTCAACGGATGGGTCTTTCCGTGTTGTAATTGTTTTTTATTTTGAGCTTTCGACATCACAGACGGAACCACCATATTGGAGTAGTCGATGGGCGCGATCGAGACGACGGTGGGCGCGAGTGGCGGCCGCTCCGAGCCGCCGCGCAGCGCGCCGCAGAACGAGTTGCGCAGAGCCGCACCGCGCCGCTCGCCGCCACCACCACCGCCACCCTCCGCTGCCAGCCGGCACTTCTTCGACACAGATTCGTGGGCCGCCCGCGGCCGGCTCGTCTCGCACGCCGACTCGCACCGCGCACGGCCCGGTTGGTCATACTTGTCGACCAGCACACGCACGGAAAGATCTTCTCCTGACGGGGGGGACGCAGGCCCCCTTTCCCTGCCATCGTGCGCGGCGGCGCGGCCACGCGAGTGCGAGCGGCGCGTCGAGTCAGCCTCGGAGCGAGCCTCGAACTCCTTCTTGAGGTTGCTGACGAGCCCCGCGGGGGGCGCGGGCGGCACGGGCGGCGCGGCGCGCGGCAGGTCGCCGTGCGAGGCGCAGGCGGCGCGGCGCCGCCGCAGGCCGGCGCGCGGCCTCTCGGCGGGCGCGGCGGGCGCGGACGCCGACAGCCGGCCGCTCCACGTGGAGGCGCCGCGGTCGCGCGCGCGCTCCATGCGCGCCGCCGCCGCCGCGAGCTCCTCCAGTATGGCACAGGTTTCGTTGAATTTGCGCTCGTTATCGGACATGGTGACGGGCGCGCGGGCAGGCGCGCGCCCGCCGCGCCGCGGCTCCGTGTGCTCGCTGATGATGCCGAGGTCGGAGGTGGGCCGCTCGTCGTCGCGGCGCGCGGCGCGCTCGTCGCCGCGCTCCTTGCGCTTGGCGGCGTCGTCGCGCGCGGCGGCCGGCGCGCGGCCCCGCGTGTCGTACGAGCCCCAGGAGGAGTGGCGCGACAGGTCGGGCACCACGGCGCTGTCGAACGAGCTCCACGAACTCTGTCGGCTGGGCGGCGGCGCGTCCTCGTCGACGGCTCTCCTCTCCTCGCTGTCTATGTTACGATCTACTAAATTTAAAAAAGCGTCACTCGTTTTCGTCTTTGTGTCAATTATACCACTATCACTTTTCACTATATTATCACTGTCACTAATGTTTCGATTATCTTCTACCCTGGGCCACGGAGCTTCCCCTGGATCCCAGGTATGGATTTTATCATCTTCTAAGTTTGAATGAGAATATTTGTGACTTAAATTTCGCGACGGTGATGCCTGTGGTGGTTTACTAGGTGCGTCACCCGTTTGCACTAAGGAGGATACAGAACCATCAGATGATTTAAAACTGGATGAATCATTTTGATTTCCGAAATTTAACTTCTGATATCTTTTACTTAAATCTCTACGTTCACTTGAAGCAGCATTCTCTATTTCATTTACAATATGTTTAACAGACGGGGCTCCTTCCTCCTTTAATCTTATGATCTGATTAGGTGATACACTATAAGTTCCATTTGCATAAGGCATTAACATATGTCGAGTTTCATAGACTAGGTTTTCTAGAGAGACAGAGGTCGGTGGCAATAGTTCGGAAGCGAGTTTGCTATCGGGAGACCATGAACGCGGCCTACCAATATAGGAACCAGTCAAAGCCAAGACTAGAGGTGTAGGATCCAATATTTTACTCTCTATTTTCGAATTATTTTTTGGCGACTTCAAATTAGTTTCTGATTTTGATCTTTGTAATTTTTCTTTGTTCTTCATTGCATCTAGTATTCCTTGATAAGTTTCAAGTTGATTTAGGAAGTTAGTGTTTGGTTTAATACAATTTCTTTTCGCTTTTACATGCTTGAGAGCTTTGTCAAAGTTCCAGTTGAATGCCTTCATTGCATAAGCGATTACGACGGAAGCGGATCTGCTGATGCCCATTTTACAATGGACGAGCACTTTCGAGCCTTCATTCCGGGCTTTGTTTATGTACTTGTATGTATTGTCCCAATGTTTGAGGAGGTCCGTTCTATCGTCGTCATACACTCTTATGTTTAAGTAATCGAACATACCCGGGAAAAAATTGTCAATCTCTCTTGTCACATTTAATATGTGCCTTACCCTGAAACAACAAATGTATATTTTCAGTAATCTAAACATTACAGAATATACTGACGCATATGGCATCATTCATGGGTTGCCACACAAAACTAACATCACATCAGTGTATATGTGTCAGTATGTGTATGTGTGTGTTGTGTAATATAACAATTAATGTATAAAAGATACCCATTTCGTTGCAGTTCTTCGAGATTACTGGCGTTCCACTCGGAGCCAAGATAAACGTGATCAAACACCTCAGTGGGAGCATCCATCTGTCCTAATATAGTGAGCATCTCTTGGTCGATAAAAGACTTGTATTCAGCGAGGTCCATATCCAACTCGTCTTCTAGCCGGCCGCGGATTACTTTGCTCGTCACCTCGTCTATGTCAACGCTCATCATTATTTCCTTCAACGTACATCGAATCACACGCTCTGTTTCGTCTCTTTTGCGAGGCCTGTTAAAAATAAAACATGTTGAATTTAATATAAACAACAATAAATATGTTATCTATTAATATTATAAGAATTAAATTATAAAAACGACTCGACTGGCCTATATACAATATAATTAAATAAATAAGAATTTAAAACTTGTAAGTACATTTATTATACCATAACTTTCAGTTCACATTTTAACGAATCTTGCTTCCAACATATTGCACTTAGAATTAAAGGTAAAACGTGATAATAACAGGAAAAGTACAATAATACAGTGTACACTGAACTGCTATTGGTGATTAATTATGTTATAAAACTTACAAAAGTATGTTACATAGCATACATATATGATGATTGTTCATCCTGCAAATCGCATGCAAAGTATTCTAATTAACGCATTGGCCGGCGTCCGATCCTTTACGAGGTCAAGAAACTAGGTCTAGGCTCCAGTATGCGTGATTACGTATGCTGATTGCTAATTATTAATTATACAACACCTGAAAATATTTTTTGTACCTGAAGGTTGAATATGTAATGTATATCAATTATACCTAGTTCAGATATCTACATACTCGTATATAACAGTAATACTCAAATGTAAAAATCCATATGGGGATAAAGTCAAATAAAGTCTACATTCACTCTAAACTTTAAAAAACTCAGTAATAGATCTCGGGGGAGCATTTCAGTCTTTATTCGTTGGAATGAAAAACGAAGAAGCGACACGCTTTATGCCAATAAGTCAAACATTAACCATACACTTTCTTAATTAGGTTTCAAGCCTTATTTCACTGACACTATGCTAGAGAAATAAGCTCATGCAATCCTTGATCACACTTTCCAAAATGTAAGCTATGTAAGAACACCGACAGTAAAATTGTACTATTGTACGACTACGGCCGAGGCTTTCGAAGTATTTTAGCTATTAGTGACACGACAAAAATTTTTCATTGTATGTATGCAAGGTATTCTTGACTTATATGTTATACAATGTCATCCTTGAGTTCTATTATTATTGAAGTACCTAATAATTTCATTTATAGAAATACAATCCTGTGAATCGTAATATGTAAACAACACACAGAATTAAAACATCAGCTATGACCAACTCACTTTAGCCTAAGCGAATCCGGCGAAGGCGGGCGACGGGATTCGATGCAGTCCATGGCATGCCACTCATTGAGGCAGGAACGGTCCGAGTCGATGCGCTCCTCATAGTAAGCGCACCAGGCGTGCGACGCGCCGCCAGCGAAGTGGTTCAGCGCACGGGCTCGGCTGCTGGCGCGGTGCAGCGTTTGTAACGCTGACCTGGAACACAACCGGGGGCATATGTGATAAAAAAGAATTCAGTCAAAAACTGATCAGCCAGTAACTTTTAATATCTAACATGCAGAAGAGTTCTTCCAAATGAAATAAAATGTCATATTACTATGCTTTATACATTAGGGATCCGGCCCAACTTCGCATGAATAGTATTTTCGAAAATAATAAACAGTCTACCAATTTTTATCCGCGAGCGAGACAAAAAGCAACCTATATATTTTCCATGTCATATAGTACGTGTATACTAAATTTCACGGTGATTGTTTAAGGCACTATAAAGTAACAAATTTACTTTCACATTTATAATATTAATCATTATTTTAGCTGTTAACTGTCCACTGCTGAATATAAACCTTCCCCATAAGTGGGGTTTTGCCAGTAGTTTCTACTCTTAGCAGGCGGGTTGGCAATTGCAGTTAGACTTTTAGAGATATTTTAAGAGGGATGCTGCTGCCCATTCCTTTACAATTAAATCCCCTTAATGGCCTATTACGACACCCACAGGAAAAGGAGGGGTGGCCTATTCTATGTTGGGACCACACGGCCAATAACAATATTAGTACTCGCTAATAATGTAGCTTTCTATAAGTTCAAATTTTTTTTTAAATCAGTTGTTTATTTTAGTAATTTTTGAGTTTATCGTTATAAATAAACAATCAAATCTCTTTCTAATATTAGTATAAATATATACCCGAAAATCCCACCCTCTTCTCATACGCTCTTTTGGCAGTCGGATAAAAATATACTAAGCATATACATATCTGTACTACCAGATGAGGTATTTAATGACATTTCACAATTATTGTGAACTAGGACAATAAGGAAAATGTGTACCATTAGTTAGTTCATTATAGAACAATCGTAGACTATCAACAGACATATTGAACGACTACCGTTTGACGATCGAGGTCTTCAATATCTTTACATCCATGACAACTGTGAATATACGAGTACTAGTATTTTTATCAGAAAAGTGTGTTATTACACACATTTTTTTAAATACCTAACTGAATTATTTGATCTGCAATGTTTTGGTTAGTTAATACAATAATTTATAAATTTAAAAGTATTAGATGCAAGATACATATTGCATTCTATTTAACGCATACATAATTACAGAGTAATTGTTAATGAGACAGCACTGATAGCAGGAACCAATGGTATAACATATGAAATCTTGTGTTCCAATAAAGTCAACCGGTGTCGGCTGTTCGTTATTGAGGTATGTTAGATAAGTCAACAGTCACAATTAATAATGAGGTCTACAACAGACGTGGAATGTGAAGATAATATATAGGAGTTACAAATATATTTTAGTACCATTATAATCTCACATACTCACCACATGGCCTGTACAGACACTGGTTTGAATATGTGTTGTTGATTGCACACGCACACACTAAATCCTCTGTGGACAATGAATATCTAATTAGTTATTGTTCTTACTTAAAAGCACACTGACTAAAACGGTTTCTTGTCATTGTTCAATAATGTCCTTCTATTATTCAAATAAGTAGAAAACATTAGAAAGATCTCATTTCAAATATTCATTTTCACCTAATAACTTAGTTCAAAATATAGCATAACAAAATCATAATTATATTCAGATTAATAAATAAATAAATAAATTACTTGAAAAACTACTTTTTTTATATTGCTTATAAAATATATAGAAAATAAATATTTTAAAGAAGTCTAACAAAAAAGACAACTCCAACAGATAAATATCACTTCCAAAAATCAATGATTTTTGATCTGTTGGAATTATCTTTTTTGTTACATCACCATGAGAAAATTATAAGATTTCAGCAATATTTTATAATATAGTTGTGCAGATACATAGGCTAATTTTTACATAACTATCTCCATTGAAAGGTTGTATGTTTTAATGAAATCAGTAAAAAAAATACATGAAATACATCTTGATACCTCTTTTGTATATAGTCACGTACAGAGGTTTTTGTTGATTGAATATACGTTGAATAAAGTACAACATTTACGCCAATATTCTCTACAATATAATAATCTCATTGTTTTACCAATAAAGTTATTTTCAAATACCACATGGCCGAAGTAAGATAAGACTAGAATAGTCTTTTCTTTTCTGCCGATTATCTCTGATACAATTTATTCAATAAGCGATATCTATTTGCCTATTAAATCTATTTCAACATTAATTCTTCAGACAGCATATTACGTGCCTGACACGTGAATATATTATTAGTATTCTTGACTAGTCGTCGTATAGACGCAGATAATCTCTCCCTAGAAAATAACATAAAACAAATATATGCACCGTTTCAATTACATTTTGTGTAAGTTCAACTCACCCGTCACCATCAAGCTTTATAGATGTGTCCGCGAGAACCCTCAACACGAGGCCGACAGTGGTGCGCTCGTTGCAGTCGATACCGAGGAGAGCCGCTTCTTCGCTACGGCATACCACAACCAGGTATCTGGTGCGCCCCGCGTGAGCGCTCTCCAGTTTCACCGCCTGTGCAGTAAAGTAGCGTTACCTAACATTGTAAAAGTCATGATGTCTGAATATATTGACAGAGTAAGAGTTAGTTAATTAGCAACTTTGATAGAACAATCTCACCTGATGAGAAATAATAATGAGGTCGAATATTGAGCTTGTGGGCCTATAATATACAGTAAAAACAAATCATAAAAATAAACATGCTTACAACTATATCTACAAGTAACAATAACTGTCAAGTGATAACGTAACAGATATTAGAAAAATGATTCACTGTCAGCTAGATAGTAAGCATCATATTAGATATTTTATTAAGCACCATTTTGAGCGTCTCCTCCGGGCGCAACAGGTAGAACATGGACTGCAGATGGTGTTGTATGTCCGGTTGGGGATGCGCTCGCGCCGACGCTCGGCGCTGGTCTGCGCATCCACACTCCGAACCGCCCAGTACCAACGCCGCTCCCTTGTTCGCAAAATAACACTCATTGAGGCTGAAACATAAAACAAAAAAATATAATTACAAAAAATCTAATTTTTGAAAACATTCTAATATTCCTTGCATGGAACGCGTAAAGGGGGGCAAACCCGGCTCGAATAAATCAGAGATGGGGTTTCGATTCTCGAATTCGAATTACCGGAACAGACATTAAATGTATTTTATGAAAATAATTATTACCAAAATTAAAAACCACTCAGTGGCTATAAAAAAAAAGTCGGTGTCCTTCATCGAGTAACAGAATATTCGCATGAGCTACTCAGCAATAATTATTTTTTTAATATAATGCAACCGCGAAATGTATGAATGACGCCATTTTTAGTAAAGTTGCTGCAATCCGTCTTGCTGTAGCGTTTAACCTTCCTTTCACCGGGGCAGGCTCAAGCCGCAGCTCGACTTGACAGTCGTCGCGGAGGGACGACGCGCTGGCTGGGCCGCACAGCACACTTGTTTCTCTGCCTCGCCTTTGTAATACGTATGATTACTCATCGACTTCCCCAATACCTACATATGTAAATGATGCGTACTAACATTTCAATATTTTAATCGTATTATTTTATCGCAGCAGCTATAGCGTAAAAACATAAATGTTACATATACCTAAAGCCACAAGGAAATGCGTTGTTTAAATCATAGTTATTTTTGAGTGAACAAAAATATGATGAGATTTTAATTTTAAGACACAACTGGTAAAAAAGTATGCCTATGGTTAGGAGTACTTATAGTTAGTAGTACTGTAATAAATGACTGAAGACAGAATGCGTTACAAAAGTAATGATGAGGTCATCAGAAAATAACACTATGGAAAATAAATGGAAAGTATATAGTAAACATACCTAGCTATACAAGGGAACATGCGAAGCGGTTAATAATAGAATGTAAATAATCGTGTGACGGTAGTTAAGATAGGCCATGATTCCAAATGTCGACTTGCATTAAAAGCGGCAAGGGCGGTTGCTCTCAAGGTTCATTAAAAATAACAGCGGCGGGTTGCCAAAGCGGCGATGCCCGCCCATACTAGTCGCCGGAGCCCGAGTTCTGCGGCCGGTACGAGACGCCCGCGCCGCGCGTCCGCGAACCGCCTCACTGTACCTATATAGTAATACAACGAGTGCGAATCGCGCGTTGCCTCCAGTGAGACTACTCGTCAGTCGCCTCGTCATTTTACCGAATTCGGATAACCACGCGTCTGCGCTACCCATTGACTATTGAAGTGTCGTGGCCACTTTAACTAATCAGAAATTCAGTAGATATTTACTCTATAAGAGGCGGAGCAGTCAACACTTAACACATTTAATAACCTCTAAGCATATTTACATTAATATAACATGTTTTCGATATCGTTATGAGAAGTAAAAATTTATTAAGATACGAAATCGATTATTTCGATCAGGCATGAGGTTTTTTTTTTTTTAATTAAATTGCAATTCGTTTTTACCCGCAAACACTATCGGTTACGGTAGTGGGATACTAGTGAATAACGATAGGTGTGGATGAAATCAGGTCAGTTGGCCTATCTCGCTAACAAATACACCAGAAATTAACCACGATGGGTTCCAAAAAAAACCGTGGAGGTCAAAGACCCCATAGGTTTGATCCATACATCTTTACGAGCTTTCTCGTTTATAATATTAGTAGGATTCAACAAGTAAAGATTTAATAATGAAGACTTTCAGGTCTAATGTACCACCAATACAACTTTTAAACAACTTCCAAATAGATGTTTTCAATAAGTCTTTTTTGTGGCTATGTTATACAATTACGCCGCCCATTGTGAAACGATTTTCTATACTAATATTATAAAGAGGAAAGATTTGATTGTTTGTTGATATAATAGATAAACTCAAAACTACTGAACCTATTTTAAAAATTATTTCACCTATAAGAACACTACATTATTAGGGAGTAACATAAACCATATATTATTTTAGAGTATTTTATTTACCCGTGGGAGGCCGGGCTGGATCGCTAGTATTTAATAACTCTATTTGCAATCAGCAGGAATTACTTCCGTGTTAGTCCCATATTAATTTGATGACGAGAAAATTAGACGAAACTTGCTTGACTAATTATATCATAGTAGTATATATAGCACACTCAAATAAAATAGTACTTCGATGAGCAAGCAGAGATAGTGTGCACTATATATAAATAATATTATTATGTAAATGTTAGAAAATAACACTTTTTTTTTATTATATACATTGTGTATTGTAAGAAAATACAAGTTCAAGGTTAAATATTAAGCGGGTGGGCGGAATCACGGGAAATGATAGTTTGTAAATGTAATAAACCACGTGTTGTTTCTACCAAATAATTATAGTTGGCAAGAACTAATATTGCGCAAACCCGCATTAATGCTAGAACTATTCCGTATTTTGACACTACACTAAATCTACTAGTCAGTTTGTACATACATTTTTATATATAAAGAAAATGTACCTGAATTGAACTCTTTCATAAAATCGTAAATATTTTTTTTTTAAATGTTGCCAATATAAAACTCACAACCGCAGGCTCGCGAGTTGGTGTAATTAATCACAAGGCCACGACGCTCTCTTACTATTGTAATAATAATAAATAACCGACTTATTAGTAACAAACTCAAAAACAAGCTTAAGAGGGAAAGATGGAATTAAATCGTTTATCTTGGTGTGTGTTGTGTAAAGTTCCAACTAACTTTCTGGTGCTGGAATGGAAAACACTGTTAACAACGCGAATTAATCTGAATAATGGTTGTGAGCTCGCTTCATGCCACGATGGATATAAATATGCTGTAAATGTAGATACATACATTTACGAATACATTTTATTTTGCAAAAAAGCAAAAAATCGTGAACATAAGTACGCTGAACGATTAATATTTCATTGACACATTACAAAGAAAATATTGGAATTTATTTAAGTATTTTGAATTTTATCCTATAATTGGATTTTATTCTATAGTTACAACATTAATACGAAACCATCACGAAAGTAAACTTGACTGTAAAAAAAAAATATGAAAATCGGTTCAGAATTGGCAACGTTACCACATAACACAGCCACAAAAAAAATACAAAGAAATTGAGTACCTACTTCTTTCTATTGGAAATCGCTTACATTCTATTGTTTCAACGAAAATATATGTTAGATGGGTTTAAATATAATGAAGCATCACTGAAATGAAGTTTTTTAAAATAATTGAAGATCCACTTTACAAGAAAGTCATAATGCTTTTGGCTGTTTGTTTACAAATTTTATTTTGCTTCCTCGATATACTTTCATTCACACAATCATTATAATTTCGAGTTACGTTCTCTGTCCGGAATATTCCTTCATCAACGCAGGAATGATGATGATTATATTGCCATAAATTTAAAACCACCGATTTCAATAAGAATCTTAATTGTATCCTTCGATTTTAGTGTTTATACACTGCAGGGCCATACTGACGTGAACTGTGAAGCCTGCGTCCAATAATAGGCTGCAATAGGCTAATGATTCTCTACCATTCATCATTTTGCCATTGGGATTTCCTACATTAATCTTTTCTTTATCATGATCGCAACGTTTTTAGGGTTCCGTACCCCACAAGAACAAACTAAATACTTATAGGATCACTTTTTTTTTCAAAAGAACGCGTGGACATATCATTTGAAGTTAAAATCAATTACTGAAATCTGCAATTTCTTGAAGTTGTAAAAAAATCAATGCAATCAAAAGATAAATACGTTTAAAGCGTGTATTTTGACATTTACAAGGGAATCAGAACCTGTAGGGTACTTCCGTTAACCTAGAACAATTAAATCCGGTAAGAAGCAATGTCATACAGAATGCAAAAAGAAAAACCCGAAACTCATAAATTTGTAATGTAAACAAAAAAAAAAATACTTTGTACGGGACCCTTGGTACGCGAGTCCGACTCGCACTCGGCTGGTTTTTATTTACTTTATTTACAGGTCAGCTAAGGATTGATTTTTTTAATCGTCTGAATAAGCAGAAAATAAAAAGCATACAGGACCCTGGAGACCTATTCCATTCATTTCAAAGTCCAACTATTAAAGATACAGTTTGCTGGGAACTGGAATTTAGTTTGATACAGCAGCAAACCCAGTAATCGGTATACCTAGTCACTTCAGAGTTTCACTACAGAGTTATTTCGGAAAAAAATCTTATTCTAAATACAAAGATGTTATGATGACAAAAGGAATTGTTCATCAATTATTAAAAATTAGTAGAAATAAACAGGTACATTTTAAAATAAAAATAAACTGAAAGCAAGGGTGATTATTTGAATTACTGATACTGTTATATAGCGTAAACTTTAATTATAACTACTTTCGGCACATAGCTCCACGAGTTCCTAATACTGTAAATATTGTGTTTGTACCTTTTGCTACATTTGAAAATGTGCACTACTCGGAAAGAACACATATTGAAGTCATAATACGATCGGTAACTTTTGTGACAAGATTAGTTTCGTGTTTATCATTAAAAACAATCACAATATTATATTTGATGGTGATAAAATCAATATAGAAATGAAAAACAATGAAAGAAAATTCTTTCAATTAATAAAATTAAAATAACTTGCGATCATTTCAACCGATTTCAAAAAAGGAGGTGGTTATTATTTAGTTATTTTTAATATAAGTGTTCTTAGAACTTCGTAATGATTAAATCGATTTGAAAAAATAAACTATTCAGTGGTTTGATTTTTAAATCAAATTAATTTGGTGATTGGAGTCGGTATTTTTTTTTTGTGGAACTATATCTACTTGTATATTGATACATTACATTGAATACATGTCCAAATAAAATAAAAATAAAATACAATTGAACAAAGACCATATTTTTGAAGTTAGTAATTAAATAACGTAAATAGAAAAAATGTAATACCAAAATACATATTTGACTGTAATTTTTGTAGTTTGTGAATACAGTATTTTTCAAAAAAACCAGATTCTGAAAATATGATAGACCAGAGGAGAAAATCAAATAATTATTTAGATTGTATGTAGTACATAGAAAAGCAACAATTGTTTACCTGAAGGCGACCATGTCGGAAACAAAGGGGAGTAATCCAAGCTATAGGTAAATGGCGCACAATTGTAGTGTCACTATATACAGCACTGGCACATAAACATTGCGGCTCTGTGGTCGCGATTTTCTTGTCGGATGCGGTAAAGTGGCGGTAAGTACTGCGTATGTCAACCGAGTATGGATGGTGCAGTTGGTGCGCGGCGCACCGACCGCGTCCAGCGGCGCGTCCCGATCAACAATAAGGTGCGTGCACGACGTACATAACTTGCTCGTAGAGCCCACCCGATGAGCGACGTCATGATTTCCCTCCTAACTGAGCACAAACTGCCGCGTAAATATAGAAACTCGATGCAGAACAGGAACACGAGGCAGTTGGGAACACGCCTCGCTCTACACGCGTTGTTATTTCTATACGATCGCATATATAAATAATATTATTGTTCAAACTGCCACATATTGTTCATGTATGATATTGTTGTACACAATACGAATAACGAATTGAAAGATTTCTTGATCAATGTATTTATTATTATAAGGTCAAATCTTGTAATCGACACCCAGATTCAGAGGATTTGTCCCTGATATTTAACATAACCAAAAGGTGTAACTAAACTACTGACTATGCTTGAACAACTGCATTCTGCGAATCGAAAGGATCCCTTCTCCTAGTAACCTTTAAGGATATCCGTTAGCTTTTAACAGTTGTAACATTTAAGTGAAATATGAGCATCGGCCATGACCAATAAGAGTGTGAGACATGAAGTTCAAAGAAAAATGTTGTAATTGAAAAAGATAAAAACATTTATGAAACACAAAATTTTATTAAGTGGTTATATATCTCGCAGCCATATCTATATAGAATAAATAAACATCAAACATCAACTATCTAACTATACCTGATGTATGTACTTTTTTGTATTTGATTTTTAATTCGCATCAAATTCTTCGAGGATTTAGTACACCACAGTAGACAAGTAGATAGATATTCACGGCAGAAACAGGTAAGATACAGTACCGTGACTAGGTAAGGTATGCAATTCAAATAATTGCTGCGAGTAACGTTATCGAATAGGCGTTCTAAATCAAAATCGCTGCATATATACATACATACAGCATATATACAAATTTTAACTACATCGAAATAAATAAAAATGTAGGGAGTCATCCACAAACTATGTCGTTTGAAAATAATGAGAAGGGTCTTCAGATAACGATAATATATATATGACGTTTGAAAGGTTCAAGAGGTTGGGGGGAGGGATAAATTAAAACCCTTTTTGTATGACAATTTTTACAAAAGTTGCAATAATTTATTTACTTTGCCGTTTTTATCAGTGCTATTATTATGTTTCATCTTCAAAAGCTTCATATCATAAAAGCTTTATCATTATATAAGCCTTTAACTGTCCACTACTGAACATAAACCTCCTCCTTGGGGAATTTTACCAGTAGTTGCCACGCTTGCCAGGTGGATTGGCAATCGCAGTTAGGCTTTGAAGATGTTTTAAAAAGGACGCTGATGTCCATCTCTCGTCCTCCCTTAATCGCCTCTTACGACACCCACCGGAAAGAAAGAAGGTGACCTATTCTATGCCGGGACCACACGACGTTTGGTAAAAGCTTGCTTTGCAATAAATCTAAAGACACATCCAAAGTATCACATTTTCATTAAGACGATACATACAAATTATAATCCTATCAAAAACATAACATGTAAAAAATGCCAAATCTCGCAACGTAGTTCCTTTACTACAAAAAGTTGTGAGATTTCAAGTCTATAATGATTTGGTAATTGCACAGCACCGTAATTATAAAAGAATAATCTAATACAAAATCTACTATTTTGATTACTCGGTAAATCTAAACAGTGCACTTAAGAATATTTCATTAGTAGAATATATTACCGTGCAACTGCCAAGTCATTATAGACTTGAGATCTCATACCTTTTTGTGACGAAAGAACTAGTTACGAGATTTGGCATTTTTTTTACATTTTATGGTTATGATGGGATCTCATTTCTTTTTGTGTGTCATCCTCCTTTTTTTCGAATATAAATAATATGTCTTGTCCGTTACATACAAGCGCAATGCATCATTTGAATTATTATTATATCAGCCACTAACTGTCTACTGTTGAACTATTTTCGTTTAATAAAAATGAATAATGAAATTTCGGGATTTTTCCTTTATAGGCTAAATGACAACTAAATGAGATTACTAGAAGTGCTTAGAAATTTAATACCCCTGTTTTATCCACAATGAAGTTACAGGGGAGTTAAAAGTGCCGTGAGTCACTTCGAAAAGTGGAGAGTACGGCCGTGCTCGTCTTGGTAGGGACGCTGTCGTGCCTCCTAATATTGTAATTCTTAATGTATAATAAATAAATATCTATAATAAATGCCCTCATTACGTTGCCCCGTTAATTATATTTTTAGTTATTCCTATCTATGGTTGTCTGGTAAATGACGCCTTTCTTTACATTTTAACGTCCTTTTCCAATTATGTTAACACCGTGCATATTATATTATAGGCATATTATGTATTTTATTAGTTCATCCGTTATATCTATTCTATATTATATCGAATTTTATTGACATTTTATTAAAATCCTATATGGAAGATCCTATCCGGATTTGGCAATTTCCTTACCAAAAAAAAAAGATTATATTTGGAGTTGGTCACACGATTAGCAATTACACGACCGACTGAATAATGAAACGCGACTTAACAATGCAAAAATTGTTTCACTCGATTCATTATTTAAATCTATATTTAAGACAGTTTTAAAGATGAGTAAATACCCTTAGACACCAAGTATCTGTTAATTTGAAACGGTAAAAATATGTGCACAGCAACTCTAATAAAGCATAGTAATTCGGAAACCGTGTTAAATGTTAATTATTACAATAGAAAAAGGTAACCAACCTCTTGCTGACACGGTTACTGACATCCTCTTCAATATTTTCTGTTGATTTTTCTGTCTCATCCTGAAACAAAACAAAATAAAGTAATCTATGTCTGAACTTATCACTTAAATGACTAGAACTACCATGAAATGTTTTCCGAAATTTCGGGGTCGAACGCAACATAAATTTAATGTTAAAATTAAAATACATATTTTTTAAAAATGTTAAAATATCATTCCTTTGAAATTCTATGTTAAGATTTATGATGAACGAAATGTTAAGCTTCATTTACTGGGTCGATTTTGGTTTGAACGAAAACACGAAATTGGGGTCCGAAAATTTAGAATTTCATTTCATGGTAGACCCCTGATCTAATAATACGATTTGTTAATTTTGACACAGGGATTGCCTCTTGATTGTTGGTTTAAAATACAATTACGATTTATAGAATTTGTTTTTTTTTTAATATTATGGCTCCAACGGAGCTCCGATGATTTTGGCAGGGTCAAGGTTGAAAAAGAAACTGCAATTTTATCGATGATGCGATAAGATTTCCTTGTCCGTGTTCATTGAGTATCTACATGAAGGATTTTTTAGGAAAAATGATATATGATAGTTAAAATGAGATATTATAATTTTATATTATTTTTTGACATACATTTTTCTAGGGCATATACAAAAGGAGAAAAGACTAAAGTTAATAGATATTTGACGTTAACAGAGTGACAAATATTATTGGAAAGAGTGTCATACAGAGATACTGATATATTGGGGCAGTCAACACTCACATAGGGAAGCTCCTGTTAAGAGTCCCTAACAAAGTACAACAATGTCACAATCATGACAATTTTCAAAAACAATTGAACATTTTCAATGCTTCTAATTGATTATTTTAAATGTGTTTATGTATTTGACAGATAATTGCAATAATTTCCAAAATGTGGCAATGCACACTTCGGTAAATAAAAGTTATGAATGCTCTTAAATCCCCAAGACCTGTTTTTATGCTGCTGTAACAAATACTATTACAATAATCAGACTATGTGCATCCATCCATCTATCATAATGTTATATCTTAGCAACTACTAATTGTACCAATTTACCACAAATTTTTATATGTAGAATAGTTTTAGATATTTCTTGCCCACTATAACTTTTGCTAGGATCTACAAATAGAACACCCAATATTTCAAAAGTAGCCTACTAATCCAATTGTTATATGAAAGGACATACAAAAACTGGTTTTTCTTCTTCTTAAAAACTTTTAACACATGATAAAAGTATAAAAAAATACTACTAAAGGTTATGGAAGCCAAAAACCTAAAATAATTATGGTTATTCAATGTACAATGTACATTGGTGAATATATACAATATGAGGCAGATTTTAAGAGATATTATTAACCTTCAGAAACAAAACTTTATATAATTATGACTCTAAAGTAAGGATATTCAGATTGCAGTAAGAAAACAATTATTTTATTAGATATCTGTTTGATGTAAAAAAGAAAATTACTTACAGTATGGTATTATAAGATCAATTTCTCTCATACCTATGTATGTACATATTTAAATAAATCATCATCTAAAAAAAGACAAAATCTATTTATAAATTGTTTTATACATGTGTCCACTTGGACATGACAGAATTTTCTAATTAAGTGGAAACATTTATACAGGTTCATACCTGTACTGCTCAGTTTGTTCTTACTTATCAGGCCATTTCTTTACTCAATTCTCTGATTGCCAGAAATTGATATTTTTAATGACAAATTAGATCAATTTTCTAAAGGTAATTTATAATAAACCAATAGCTCACTATGTTTTGAGAAACTAAGAAAATTGAGCAGGTCATCCTTAAATAAATAATATTAATAATAATATATACACTATTTCAATAAATCTTAATTAAATGGTACTCATGTTTTGTTGAAATTATCACAAAAACACTCACTAAATACAAATAATGACAAATTGAAATATTCAATTAATAACCAAATTAATTTTCTATTTACACATACTAATATTAAACATCAGCAAACTATTTTTTTTTTCTATTTAAAGAGTCTTTGTTCTTATGGAATTAATACATATGATCTGTGATATGATGAATCTATTTTATTTATTTAATCTTCCTATTTTATTTATCAACTATGTATATTATTTTCTTTATTAACTATAATCCTCAATTAGATCAGAGATAATAGAAATATTTTATTCAAATAGTTAATATCAGTATCATTATTAAAGTTTAAGAGAATACTGACTGATTTAATAAAAATTTATCTAGAAATACAGGATGTCAGACTTATATTATTTAAGGTAATTGGTTAAATATCATGAGAAAATGGCTGATGTGACAATGATTTTGAAATTCAGATGACTGAATTGAAAATTTTCAAAACAAATAGGAATAATGGTTGAGCTAATGACCTCACATAAAAAGGTATATAAAAATAGTAAAGAATGCAAGAAAGTTCCATGTGGAAGTAGTCATTTTTAGCTATGCATGTTTTAAATTAAAACAAACATACAATGGCCCAAATGAGAGGCTTAATGCAGAAATGGAAGTCCAATTTACAAATTAAAACAGGATAATACATCAATTAATGGAAAGAATCTATATCATCAAAAGAAAAACTATTATTTCATTTTTTTTATAAAATATTTGCTGACCTGGGAAATATTCTGCCCTACCACCATATGTCAGGTCTATTTTTTCTCATGGATATAAATTATCCCATTTCACAAGTTGGAAAAAATATTACATATTTACAAGATTTTAGAAATTTCCAACAAACATCATGAACTTAGATTTTTATGTACTAAGATTTAAATATAATTTCAAAAATTGTAAATGTAAGTTGAAGGCCCATTTCCACATTAAATCTATTTTCTCATTTGGACTATTTTACATGTAAAGTTTCAAAGGTTAATGTTCATTTAGTCTGGACACTTAATTGCTCTTCCCATATAACCTATTCTATACATAAGGCATATGTTATTGTGACCACCATATGTCATATAATATGCACCATGATCAATATAATATGCTATATTTAATTTGGATTGAAATAAGTAAGTTACTTATTAAATGTTTATTATATTTAATGGAGAAGTAATTCATAGCTTTTCCTTTGAAAGGCTTATTCCATGGTGCTTGATACATAATTAATTGACTTGGCAAACAGTATTCTATCCTTCCTACTGGATTAGTTTTTGATTATAAAGACAAAAATAATTTTTCCTCTAAAGTTATTAAATCAAGAGATAAGATTAGAGAAAGCAATACACATTTACAAAATTTCATTAAAATTGGTTGAGCAGTTTTAGAGATTAGTGTCAACAAGCATTAAGAGAAGGTAGTATGCACTGGTAGATCTTACCCATGACCCAATAAGAGAGTGCTAGCAAGCAATTAACATCACAGTAAGAACTGTAGATCGCTCACTCACACATATCAAATGAGATGCATTAGATCACAAACTTATTATTAAATATGAATACATTTGTGACATCCTTCTCAGCCTATGCACTCTGAAGGGAAGAAGGGCAGCATTACCAGATTCATAAAAGAAAGTATATGAGAGTCTATCCAGTCTATTTAATCTGATACTCATGGTCAAATACACTACTGTGAACTTTTAGTTCCCAGAGGTATCGAATTAGAATGTGTCACCAACTCGATAATACCAACATTTTATGTCAATTTAAATTTATAGCAAACTTTTTAGAGATAGAATACAAGTGGATATTTAATATTTTTTATGATATGACAACTTTAGTCAATTTTACTTTGTAAAACCACAATGTAATAATGAACACCTTTAATGCATTAATTAATTTGAGAGATAATGTGTTGGCATCATTGTTCAAAGATGGTCAGTTCTATGGTTTCTATTATGGCATCTATCTGATTACTACACTAATAAGAAAATTGTACTGTATTAAGATGTATGTATTAATAAAACATGCAAATATATACATTTTGACTCCTTCTCATTCCTGCAATATTTTAGTTCATTCATACAACTACATACCTACTACATTAATATCTACTACATAAGAGTGGATCTTTATTATAGATAATGTAGTTATAATGTGAGACAGCTTAAAAGGTTAACATTTCTTTTCTTGAAAATAGCTGTACTAATTTTTTTTTTTTATATACAATTCAAAATGGCATTCAAGCTGATGGCCCACCTGATGGAAAGTGGTAACCATCGCCTATAGACATGAGAAGTGCCATGAACATAATAGAGTATACTGTTTCGCCCATGATACCCCCATGCATTGCCATTCCTGAGGACTCAGACGTTATGCCTCTGTACCCTGTAAATCCACACCATATCCCACCCTTCAAACCGAAACACAGCCATGCAAACACAACTGCTTCACGGTAGAAACACGTATGGGACAGAGGTACCCAAGCAATCAACTTTTATATAGTCTTCTCTTGTGGTGGTATTAAATGCAAACAAAATAAATGGCAAGAATAGTAGATAGTAAATAAATTTATTTAAATTGAAAGGCTAAATTAAAAATAATAAACCAATTTTTGATTTATCACCTCCAAGTCAAGCAATTATTTTTGCAACGTCAAAATTGCCTTGAATATAATTGGAATCAGTCAAAGAAATATTTTAATTAAAATAAGATCAAGCAAGAGGCAACTACGTACTAATAAATAGGTCCAAAATAAGAAATAGGTTTAATAAAATGTACCTTATTGGTAATGATACTTAATTGTGAAAAGTATAGTAAATAAAATTAATAATTACTGTCTGTGCCTACATACAGAACATCCTTTTTGTTACTTACTGATTTCCTTGGTGTCTGCACACTCGGAGAGCGTCGAATAGTAACAAGTGCCATACCACATTTAACATTAACGATCCATTATCAAAATAATCTAAAATCGCAAACAAAAATGAAACTATTGAGATATCATACTAGTCTGTAAGAAATGACGAAATGTTGGTTCTTAAAAGAATATCAACTTAATTATTTTTTAAATACACATAATCACTTTTAACACAGATATTAGATGAACATTTATATTAAGCATATTTTTACCAAATCACAAATAATCCTCCAACAACAAATGAACAAGACAAGGAACAAGAAATCAGAGAAATTAAAGCTATGAATGGATGAATGAATAAAGCGAACGACTTGAGAACGACAGATGAATGATTAACTTCAATAAAAAAATTCAGTTCAGTTCTGAGTCGAGTCATAGATTAAGGAAAGTATCTGCGGTTACTATTTATTAGTGATATAATTATAAACTTTAAACCTGTTAATAAATCTGTTTCATAATTGCTGTGATGGATCAAGAGAGAAAAGTTATTTGATAAATATTTACAAAATCAATATTCAACTATCGATATTACAACATAATATAGGAAAATAGATGAGTTGTAACTATAATTAACAATATTAGGTTAAAGATTAGCCCTTTGTCAATATTAAAAAAGTTAACTAGTCATAGTCAGTGGAATCTATTAATCGCTATTTTTATAAACCTTATTTTAATTTTGTGAAATAACAATTTTATGAACTGTCATAAACTAAATTTACAATAATTTTGTCTTAAATCTATTACAAATTTAGGTTTCACACTGGTTCTTAGAACAAAGATTTCGTTGTGATATCCACTAAATGATGTAATAAGTTTTGCAAAGACTTCATTAATAGTCGATCGCTGTTAATTGGATTAAAAAATAATTCTACTTTTGACATATTCTATAGAATATTGTAAAAATTGTAAAGAATTAACATTATATTACAGAATCATCAGAACAATTTTGCCTGAAAAACTATAACGAGTTAACATCATCATTATCTTCGTTGCAGATCTAAGAACAAAGAATAACAATTTTTTGGGTGTACTTATCCATCCTACGAGTGTACCCAAAACAAAAGTGATCTGTACCTACGTTATAGGTCTACTAGGTGTAAAAAAAAGACTAAGAACAAGGAGGTACATAAAACATGTAATAAAACTGTCAATTCATATGTATAGAAATGTTATACGGCCGTGTAACCCTACCAAATTCAAATACAACCTGCTTGCATACTTTCTATATTAACTGTGTCGATATATAATCTAACAATGTAAATGAACAAAAATTTTACATACACGTTTTCTTACACTAGCCTGCAATGAATTGAGAAAAATAGCAACTGAGGGTGTATCTTTCGTTCTTTTTTTTTACTAATTATGTTTGCGTAAGAAGAAAGGAGCCAACCTTATGATTTACAGTTTTTATTTTATCATTCCTTCTACGAAATTCCTTGTTCTTAAAAAAAAGCATGTTTATTGTACTACCTTTAATCTGGGGAGTCTATAGATTTAGTATAACGTATTACGTACACTTTATAATCTAAGACAGAGCCATAAATCAACCCTAGCAGATCTATATATATAAATTACTGATAAGTTTCCCTCATTTATGATTAGGCTGTATAGATTATGTTCTTTGCCTATCCAATTTTGAACAAATTTCAAAACGACCTTTATAAAAAGAAATACCTATGGTGCACAATCATAGTCTTTTTAATCTGTGTCCATAACATAACAACAAATATTCCTTCATACTTTTATGAAATAAATTCGTAAATTAAGTTTACTACTCTCAGAGATGATAGTATAGTACAATATTAAATTGGTTATTTCTTACGATACAAGCAGATTAGTGGTAATTAAAATATAAATTATAATAATAAATGTTTTGGTATTATGCAAGGCGGTTCTCTACTGATCCTAATGGTCATATGACATCTTTACAATTATACAAATTCTTACTACGCCAATGTGAAAAGTTGCCCCCTGATGCTTGTAAACATTATAAATTTGCTATAAAACAGGTAGATATTATGTACTTTTTAGTCTTACGAATTATCACGCTGTTGTTATTTTATTGTAACTATGATTATCATCTTTATTTGTTGTTTTTACTTATTTTACATTAGACGCATAAGCTGTCTATTTTCATCGTTTTAGCGTCTAGCAGCGCAAGAATAAATAATTATTTATTTACATGTACATGTACATAAAATTAGTTCATTTATTATCTGCATTATTTAGGTCTGAAGTTAAAATATTGTGGTAGATCAATCTACCAATCGCGATGAATTTATCAATGTTTATTACTAAGGCTGCTAATTGCTATTACTAACAATACCTATTCAGCATTATTCACTAATACACTGTTACTGATACAAATAGTACAGGAGGAGTTACTGTTTCATTTTCATCTCATAAACAAGCCCCACTGTTTTAATTGTTCTACTTTAATGTTAAAAGGCACCATTGTTGATGTTACATATCTATGTTAGGTGTTGCTGGCAACACCTATACTTACATTAGAGTTCATTTAATACTAATCAAAACTTAAACATATATTGAAATGAATATTTAATAGATATTTATGTAGATTTATATATACATAGTATATATATTAGTATTGTATATATTACATATATAAATATAATACTATGCAAATTTTGTAGATACTGTTATTGTTTAGATTTCTGTAAAAATGTTAAGAGTTCTGTTCAATACCGCTTCCGCTGACTACTTCCTATACCACTGTGATATATATTCCTATACCAATGTGTGTGACTGACTGACTTTTTAGAGATAAGTACACCTTTGCTTATATTATTTCTAATACTTATTATTACTATATGTTTTAATGCAATAAAGTATAAATTAAAACTAGAAAAACAAGTTATGGATATAACAAAATGGGAATATATTGTATTATGATTATTAGATTAACTTTGGCACCAAACATATAATACATATAACAACTTAAAACATCTCATTCAATGTGATTACAGTAAAAAGCCAAACTGTCAGCTGTCACCCGCAGCAAGGGTTGTTTGCATAATTCATAGTAATACAGTAATTCACAGAATATTAGTAAATTATAGTATATTTAAAATCACCTTTATTTTAAGTATATACACTATAATTTCTTTTAAGTGTATCTTAATTTTTAATATTAAAAAAAAACTTGCTTAACAAACTTCTTTCATTATAAACATTTATCATAGTAATTATGTAATATTATTATTTGAAATAATTGAAGACCTGAATACGAAAGTGATATATTTTATTTTCACTATTTACTATATCATATTTAAATACATCAACAACATATCCTGATGCATATATCAACAGGTATTTTGTGAATGCTAACAACTGTAAGTTACAGTAATTGAGTGTAAGTATAACTTAGAGGGTGTTAGTATACATATTAGAACCTCTCGACACCTTCAACCATTCATGTCTTTAATTGTACATATTGTTTTTTGTACTTTATTTTTTATTTTAAATAATAATAATATTATGTAAGTGTATACCAATTATTTTTTATACCATTTATTAAAAGAAAAATTATAATATTAATTTATTTAAAGAAAATAACAATCTTTTGTAATATTTCTCACTGCAGTTACTATGTTTAACTTTGGAAATATTGATTTCCTATTTTACTATGATTTTTTTAATAAATAGGTTCACAAAATTTTCCTTTACTACATATTGTCTCCTAAATTTGTCTTTGGCAAGTACTCACAAGACTACAGCTCCTTTGTTTTATAATAAAAGATATATTTTTTATTAAAGCAAGAGACTAGTGTTGCCTAAAAAAAAGGCTTTCTTAATTTACCAGATTGAAAAGTCAATGGGGATATTTATTACTGAAATTTAAACTACTTTTTTTCAACCTCAACAACATTACTATTTTTTTACAGAGTTATAAACAGCATAAATTTGAACCAGATGCAGAAAGAGTAAAGGAAATCATATCAAAAAGTGTAGAGGATGCAACCTGGATTGTGAAAAAGGTAATTAATTATTATAGTTAGTACAGTAAAATATAAAGAATATTAAAATACTCAGACAAAACATTTAAACAATAAAGACTTTATTTATCTATTGTGACAGATCAGTTTCCAGAATTTACATATTTCCACTTTACACTCATTATAATGATAAACTTATATGTTTTGCCCACAATAAATATTAAATATATATTATAATATAAATTGTTTCAGTACACACAAAAATAATGGAAATGTTGAGAAAGATTTGTGTAAATGCAGAAAAAAGGAAATATAGATTTATGCATGACAAGCAAATACTGTAATTTAAAAAATGAGCATATTTGGAGAGAGAATTGAAGATTATGAAATATTAGAACATCTAGGTAAAGGTGGATTTGCACATGTATATCGAGCAAGATGTCGCAAATCAGGCTTATTTGTGGCTATCAAAATGATAGACAAAGCTCTTATGGCCAGTGCTGGCATGATAGGACGTGTACGGCAAGAGGTCACAATACACTCTCGCCTTAAGCACCCTGCTATATTAGAATTATATTCTTTTTTTGAAGATGCACACTATGTTTATTTAGTTTTAGAATTAGCACATAATGGAGAACTAGCTAAACATTTTAAGTTGGGAACACGAGGTTTATCTGAGAAGGCTGCTGCTGATATTTTTAAACAAGTTGTAAGTGGAGTATTGTATCTTCACTCTTATAATATTATTCATAGAGATCTTTCATTGAATAATTTGCTATTGACAAAAGATCTTAATGTAAAAATTGCTGATTTTGGATTAGCTACACAATTAAATGGTCCTGATGAGAAGCATGTCACAATGTGTGGTACACCAAACTATATATCTCCTGAGGTTGCTGCTCGAGAAATGCATGGTTTACCTGCAGATGTATGGGGATTAGGTTGTATGTTGTATACACTTTTAGTTGGTAGCCCACCTTTTCATACTCAACATGTAAAAACTACACTTAATAAAGTTATTAATGCTGATTACAATATACCTTCAGAATTGTCTCCCCATGCTCAAGATTTATTACTGAAACTTCTATGCAAGGACCCTACCATGCGAATAACTCTGAAGGAGATAATGGAACATCCTTTCTTAAATAATAACATTAATATTTCGAATGCAACCAAACATGATTTATCAAGAGATTCAGGATTTCTGACTACATTACACAGTACTCAACACAGTGGCAAATTAAGAAGTGATGACAGAAATGCTTCTGATTATGGTGTCATCTGTAGGGAACAAAATATGGGTAACTTTATTAATAAGGAAATTAGACCAGCATCTTTTAATATATTTACTGGGATGCAAGATTGTCATTCTTCTCATAGTAATATTCATGCGACAGGAGACTTGTTTGATAGAAATTCAAGTCAATTAAAAAATATACCTTTACAAAAATTTGATAGTGCATGCAGTAGTGGTATTGCACTATTAGAAAATATAAAGCATTTACATATTAAAAGCAGCAAATCTGTTAATACTGACAGTATTAATATGGTTGGAGAAAACAAAGAAAATACTGCTAAATCATGCAATGTAAATACTAATATGTTAGGTGTTCCACCGCTCTGTGCAGAAAGATTACCCATTATTTCACATAGAACTAGAAATGCTGTATTGAAAATAGAAGCATCTGGTGTCATAGTGGAATTCATTAAAAGAAAAGGTAAAGATAGAGAAGAAAAGATAGTGGAAATATGCAAAATATCCAAAGATGGCATGAAGATAATAATTTACACTGTTGATAATTGTAAGGGAAACAATACAGATCATGATCCTGGTCCTGATGAAGTATTTTCATATCACAATTTACCACAAAAACATTGGAAAAAATACTTATATGCATCTCGTTTTGTTGATCTTGTTAAAGCTAAAACACCTAAAATTACACTTTATTCAAGTCTAGCTAAATGTCAGCTCATGGAAAATAATACCGATCTAGATATGTTTTTTTATAGTGGAGAAAAAGTAACATACACATCTGTAGATGGAATGAAAATTATTGATAAGAACTTGAAAACATATAATAATCCCAGTTCTACTTCTGACTTAAAATATTTGGTAGAACACTATGAGGAATGTTCCAATCGTATTAAACGAATACAAATGGCGTTATCTTGTATTCCAGATGAATGTTTCCCTTTGATTATAGGAAAAAGGCCAATGACATCTATTAGCAATACAGCTTTACCTAATCACGGATCAGTAAACTTAAATTACAACACTCCTATTCTAAATGTTGGGTCATTTCATCGTACCACAACAAGTTCAAGTCAAACTCCAAGTGAATACAACACTACTTAATTATATCTTTATGTTTGTATTATTGACAATAGCCATTTGACAAATTCATTCTAGGAATGCATCTAATTATCTTTTTAAATGAATGTAATAGATATATGCAAATACTAATGTATTAATAGTATGTTTTCTTGTAGAAATCTCATGAAAATGTGGTGCTGGTGTATAAGACGAATTAAAAAAAGGCACGAAAAAATAATATTTATGTACTATTTAGTTTTTAATATATTAATATAATATAAACATGATCTATATTTACGCCAATGGGGTCATGAAATTAATTGTTGTTTGAACATTCTTTTTCCAAAAAATTAAAAAAAATTGATTTTCTTTTATAAATAAGTATTGAGCGCTGCAGAACTGAGTATCGATGCATCTTTAATTTGTATTGAAGGTTTACATTAAAAAAAAAAGGAATATTTATAAAATAATTGAAAAATAGTCAGTTTTAATAAAACTCAGTAAAAAGTAACTAAATTTTATCAAAATTATTATAGAAACAATCTAAATGAACTCGTAACATTTAACCAGCTTTTTATTTGTATAGTAGACATCAACTGCTGATATCCAATTAAGTTAGTACCCAACTAACAAACTAAAAAATTTATGTTTTCAAATTTTCATTACATTTTATTAAAATGCCTATACTACTACCTACTTCTGCATGAGTAGTTCAATTTATAACGACTTTACAATAAACTGTATGTTACCTACACATTTAAAATATCCAATGGACAATTATATATTTATAATTACTTGCTTTGTTTTATTTATTACTTTCTATTTATTCCATAGGTACTTTTTTATATTACAGTATTATAGGAATAACTATATACTAGTGTTCTCTTAAAGTATGCAACTTGCTAGCTTAAGCATAGGAGATACAGATGTTAACCATTGTTTTCTTAATTACGTGTTTTGTTTATGTGAGAAGACTATGGAGCAGAATCATAAGGTTCATAATAAACTCTACTAATAAATTATGTAGATGAGATGAATCATTCTCCTGATTATTTCTTAATTAATATTAGACTGTTGCTGGCTTTCCTCACTGAATCAAATACACACACATGAAGTTTTATTCTTGTTGTTTTCTTTTTAAATTATCAAAATTATTTAGTATCTGGTATCCGGCAATTGTCTAAGTAGTTATATATATGTTTCATTTTTACTAAATATGCTTAGAATATTTCAAATGTAACCAATGAAATAGCATATCTTCTTCTATACTTATAATAAATCTGTAGAGACGTCAATTCTGTACATGAAATATATTTCCAAAATAACTATCAGGAGGTGATTAGTGATCAATACTGATGCCAAAAATGCAATCAGTAAAATTTTTGTCTGTCTGTCTGTATGTTCGTTATAGAAACAAAAACTACTCGACGGATTTTAACGAAACTTGGTACAATTATTCTTCATATTCTTGGGCAGGTAATGGTATATTTTTCATCACGCTGTGATTAATAGGAGCAGAGCAGTGAAGGAAAATGTTGGGAAAACGGGAGAACTACTAGTTACTCCATTTTTAAGCTTCCGTCGCGTGTGCAGACTTAATGGCCACTTTTTAAAATGTAAAAATGTCCACCCGTGCGACGACGAGACGGGCCGCTATTTCTTAATAATTACATGACGAGCGACTTTGGAAACCGTGCCTTCGGGAACCTGTAGAGGGTCCCATATATTAAGGAAAAATATATACAAAAACTTACCTACTTTACAACTACCATTACTCAAGTTTAATAAATACTGAAATACAATAACAATAAACTCTATTTGCAATTTATCTTATCGATATTATAATATTAAAAATAATAACAGAAAAATATAACGTCTAAACTTTACGCTTCCCGCCCTTTTTTAAAAAAAGGATAGTTAAAAGCCAACCAGATTACGACAACAAACAAAAACTATCTTGACAACAGTAGCGCACTATTGTTTGGGTGCTTGTACACGTTATAAATTAATAGTTAATTAAACCTGAATTAACCACGATGGGTTCTAAATGGAACCGTATTGAAGTCGATTTGATAAGGTACATTAGTAGCAATGAAGCTTTCAGACCTATTAATAATTCCTTAATATCCAATAGAACCATATTAAATCACATACATATAATAATGAAGCCGACAAAACAAGATATTTCTCTTTTACTGGCTCCTACAGCAAAATGAAAGTTACTGTCTTGTTCTGTCATGTATAACAATACTCCATCAAATTGTGACGTACGGCAGTTCTCAATATTGCTATAAGCTGTATAAGCTGCGCGCTCATCACTATAATATACGTAGTATTAAATAAAGTTAGAAAGTCACTCAGTCTGACTATTCCTATATATATTTAGGTCTTTTCGCATCGCAATAAATTTAAATGCGTTTTTTTTTTAATAGATAGTGTGATTGAAGAGGAATGTTTATATATATAATACATGTATAATATAGTAGACAAACACTGATCATTATAGAGGTATCTAATATGATATGATATTCTAGCATTTCGTGGCAGAATATTTAAAACTTCCACGAAATGCTAGTCTTATATGTGGGGCAGATTAAGGTTTTTTTTAACGGGTGATAATGGTATTGTTACCCCGTTTGCGCTATCGGTATACACTGGCGGGGTACTAATGAGAGATAACAGATGAGGATGAAAGCAAGTCAATTAGCTCATCTTGACGAATTCAACTAGAATTAAACACGATGGTTTCCAGGGAGAACCACGTGGAGGCCGACCTGATATAGAGACGGGTGTATTGCTAGTAATGGGGCTATTTGACCCCATTACCAACAATCCCTTCCCCAATCAAGTATCAAGTAGGGACGATAAAGTAGGGGTGTGGGACTCTAAGGTTATGCACTGAAAATAAGTTTTTCGAATAAATAATACAATAGAAAATGATATGTCAATTATTTGTCAATGACAAATTTTACATTTCTAGATTATATATTCGACAATGTTTCTGTAGAATGTATGCAAGCAGGTTGTATCTGAATTTGGAAGAGTTATACAGCCGTATAACATTTTCTATACACTGGCCTGTTATGAATCGAAAATTTTATCACTCCTATGTAATTATATTATGGCAACATTGTGCATTATTAATTAACAAGAAACAATTCTACTACGTAATAAATTTTTTTAATAATTCAATAGTGAATTAAACAATTAAAAAACAAAGGAATATTTATCTATATTTACAAAAAAAAATAACAAAAAGTTCTTCAAAAATGCTATTTATAAAACTTCAAAGAATCTTGACAATACCAATTGACTACTAAAATACCTTTTTTTTTTAACCAGATTCGATTGCGCATTTTAAACAATTACGTTCATGTTAAATAATTTTTTACCCATTTTTTATTTAGTATCTACAATAAATTAATTGACTAATATAATTATTATTATAGCAACTCTGCCTAATTTTCAAATTTTGTTTTAGACAGAAAACTTGATTCCGAGTTGGCGACACTGCCTCCATCTTTTTTTTCGCGATGCCTCCTAAGAAGCAGCCTGAGAAATCCGGTATGATTATTTTTATTTAACCAAATTATACCTAAAATGTAAACGTATCTGAAATCTCTCGTTAATAGAATGTGAATTAAAGTAAAAAAGTAACTACTTTATAACTTATTTAAATTATTGCGTATAGTGTATGAAAGTAACAAGCCACGCGGTGCCTAGTTTCCACACAATTTTAGTTAAATCTGTATTTTTGCATCATTACTGCACCGTTTCCGTTAATTTATTATTCAATAAAAGAGTATGACTAAGTTGTCTTAAAGGTCTATTTATTTATTTACATGTCATATTGTTTAGTGTGTTTTGAGGTTATGTGTTGATAATCGATTTTCACTTTTCAAATATAGGATCCACCGCTGGGTCTAAACCTGCGGAGAAGAAGCCAACTACGGCTAAAACTCCAGCCGCAGCACCTAAAGTCGCTTCTGCTAGTGCCTCGAAACCGGCATCAGCTAAAACTCCAGCTCCGGCTCCTAAAGCTGCAGCACCAAAATCGGCACCTGCTGCTAAACCAGCAACAGCGAAACCTGCTCCGTCTAAACCAGCCTCAGCTCCAGCTGCCAAGCCTGCTGAGAAAAAGTCTACGACTACTCCTACTGCAAAACCTGGATCCGCCAAGGCTGCTGCTCTCAAAGTTAAATCGAGTGCTAAGCCTTCGGTTAAGAAAGCTGCATCAGCTGCAAAACCCAAGCCCAAGCCTGCAGCCACAAAGTTGAAGATTGCACCAAAACCTAAAAAGACCGGTATTAAGGGACAAAAGAAGCAGGTTGTAAAACCTGTTGCTAAGGCTCTGAAGGCTCAGAGAAAGGTAAACACGTGTTTAATAAAATTAGGATTCTGTAAAATTAATGTTTATTTTATTCAAAATACAGAATCAGAAGAAATATTTTTGTATTTCAGGTTGTTAAAGGAGAACATGGCAAGCGTATCCGTAAAATCAGGACTTCTGTCCATTTCCGTAGACCCAAGACCTTTGAACCTCCAAGGCACCCTAAATATCCAAGAAAGTCTTTGCCTAAGAGGAATCGGTAAGATCATTGTCATTTTTAATGTTTAATTTTATCCAATGCAACATGTAATGTGCTAATGTAATGTGTAAATGAGCTAACTACCTACCTGATAGAAAGTTTATTATGGTTACCAGTACTTTTAGATTCAAGTAACATCATGTATATTACAAAATACACTGAACTATCACTGCAGATTAAGATATAATTTTACTGCCAGATCTCACCTTTTACCTTGCCTTGAAACACAGCTATTTAATAACAAAAACATAAGTAGGTCAAAAGTACCTTCTGTATCAGATTTTTGTACAAATTCTATTGATATTTTTCTTGTGATTATTATTTTTTTATAGATTAAATAATAATTGTGTAGGACTTTATGTAATCTATAATATAAAAATAAATCACTGAATGTGTTGCTAAGTGCAAATCTCGAGAACAGCTGAACCGATTTCGCTAATTATATTTTTATAATATTCCTTAAAGTATGAGGATGGTTCTACGAAGAGAAAAAATTTAAAAATTGCCTGAATAACTCTAAAAACAACACTTGTGTACTAGCATATAAAGGATTCATAATAATATTTAAAAATCAATTTGTACATTAATACCATACATACCATAAAGTACAAATTTTAGTGGGGAAGTTCTGGGAAGGCAAAACAATTGAGTGGTGTTATTATAGTATAAATCTAGCTGACTGGATGTCCTGAATAACAGAATAAGTATTAAAATAAACTAAAAAATTAAATAATGAACTGTTAGGTGATACAAAGTTCGCCGGGTCAGCTAGTTTTTTTTATAAAAATTAAGAATTTGTTACAATTTATATACACATATAGAAACTGGGTTGTATATCATAGGTATGACAGTACATAATATCTAGGAATTATTTAATTGTCTAATCAGGTTAAGTGACCCGTCATTCATAATGTAGTTAGTGTTTTTATGATAATACTATCTTGCATCACCCATGCTAATCATAAAGAATTAAGAAGTCTGTTTTAATGTTTTGCCAATAGTTGCTACACTTGACAGACAGATTAGCAACCGCAGTTAAGAGGGACACTGCTGCCCATCCCTCATCCTCCCTTAGTAGACTCCATGTGGTCCCAGCATAGAACAGACCACCCCTTCCTTTCCCATGGGTATCAACCCATGGGAAAGGAAGGGGTGGTCTGTTCTATGATGGGACCACATGGCAAATAGTATAGTTTTCTAATAGCACTAGTGACCCACCCTAGCTTCGGAAGGGTGCAATGCTGATACTAAATATACTACATAATACAATTTCAAATAAATTTTTTTATTTATCATAACATACTTATAAGTATTATAAAATGATTAGTGTTTCTTTACTATATTATTGCATGTATTAAAATTTTCCTCTTGAATCACTATCTATTAAAAAAAGTACATCAATGTCCCTTGCTTAATTTTAAAGATCCAAACATACATAAGAACAGACAGACGGGAAGCGACTTTATATTGTGTAGTGATTAGGATGGAAAACCTCATAAATATATAAATACTTCTCAATTTAGTTTATCACGATAAAAAGAGAAACTACTTGCAATAGTTGAATACAATAGAGGAAGAAGATAATTTGTATAAGAAAAAAAAGTAGAACTATATATTGGGTCTAATTTTTTTTAGGTTTGTGTTCTTTTATTTTGTTAATGTTTATTTAAGCAGTTTTCGTATAGGATAATTTGTAATCTAAAATCCTAGGGTTAATAAACATTTAACTTGGTGTAATAACATTTGAACTAAATAAAAGATAATATGTATAAAAAGCATGGGTGTTTATATTGAAGTCATAAGAGGCAACTAAGGGAACTTAATGGTCAAAGTATTGGCAGCAGTGTTCTCTTTAAAACATCATCATGTTTAACTAAAGTTGCAACCCACCTGCCAAGTGTGGCAACTACTGGCATAACAACCCTTAATAAGTGAGACCTATGTTCAGCAGTGAACAATTAAGGGCTGATATATCTTATTTTTATTGATTATTATTAAACTATCTTTGAAATTATGGGTCATTGGATTTTTATTTGTAAACTTGAAAATTGATGGATAATGCAGTTCAACATGAGCACTCTTTAAGACTTGTAATGTTAATGTTTCAGTATGGATGCATATAATATAATAAAGTATCCATTAACATCTGAAGCGGCTATGAAGAAAATTGAGGACAACAATACTTTGGTATTTATCGTCCACACAAGTTCTAATAAGCACCATATAAAGGCAGCAGTTAAGAAACTGTATGACATTAATGTTGCTAAAGTTAACACCCTCATCAGGTATGTACACATTACCATTTAATTACCTTTTTCATAAATATCTACCTCTGTAGTGAAATTATACATTATAACAAAATTATCTCATCCACTTAATGTTGAAATTGTTTAGGTATATTTTTTTATTTGTGATAAGAAGAGTAGCTATTTTAAATATGTAATAATCATCTAGTATTGAAACCTTAAAAAGTAGTTCTCATATATCTATTTTCTTCAAATTAATTTTATGATGATAATAATTATACTTTTATTTCCATATGAAAAGTCAATTTTTGTTATTCAGGTTTTTTATGCTAACCACATAAAAACCGTTTAAAAATAGATTGCGTCGTTGAGCATTACTATACTTTCATCTATTTTTCCTTCCCTTTTCCAACACCTTTTCTAAAATGATGATATCTTAGTGGGAATCTCATTGACAAAGAATGAAATAAAAGATACACAACTCTGATTTATATGTGAATATACAAATTCACCAATGTAAATATTGACATTTACTTACGAACTTCATGTATTTTTTTCCAGGCCCGATGGTAAGAAGAAGGCGTATGTACGGCTTGCGAGGGATCATGACGCATTAGATGTTGCCAACAAAATCGGCATCATATAAACAGATGCTGTATTATATTTTATAAGAATAAAAAATCTTAAATCTTAAAAAGTTTCTATTATTTTCTTTGCCTCAGACTAAAATACTCAATAGTGTACATTATATAGGTTTATTTTCAAGGAATACAAAACAGATCTACCAGTGTATCTGAATATTCTGAAATGTTTATTAGCAGCACTGTTATTTTCGAATTTCTGTTTCGGAACAAATACATTCTAGATGTCTGAAAAATTAGTCCTACTGTTTATGAGCACACCTACCGGTGGTCAATTGATGTTTTTTTTTTTCATAGGTATCTATTTTACCTTGCTTAAACTACTATTATAAAGAGAAAGTTTTTTGTTTATAATGGATAAACTTAAAAAATGTTTAACCTATTTTAAAAAGTTCTTTTCATTTATAGATAAAAAATATTGCGTAACATAGGTTCCAGTTCATAAACAAACTGCTAATCTGGAGCTGGTTGCTATTTTAAAATAAATATGCAATTTCGTCTATCAGAATGTGCCATCAGCGGAGTCAAAAGATGTTTACTTGTACTAAACTAGCCGTATCTCACGGCTTCGCTCGTATATAGTGGTGTCGTGACATTAAATAGCCGTCCTTTCTCCAGAATTGAACTATAAAATTTCTAGTGCTTACAAACACGTTTTTTTAGTATCTAATATGACGATTGTTTGAGCCGTTAAGTCGTCAAGCTTTTACAGTCATATTTATTAGTAAGAATTTTGGATTGGCGAAAGACTAACAATGAAAAAGGTGTTATAATTACGATATTTTATTATTGCAAACGAACTAACGGCACACCTGTTAGAAAGTAGTAACTGACGCTTATACGCGTAAGCAAGAACATCACAGAATGGCAATAGTACTTCTCATGCCTTTTAATAAAATTCAGTACATGAATAAGTTATATCTTAGAATATAGGGTGCTTTATATATTAGCTCACGCGGGTAAATCCGCGGAATATAGCTAGTCTAATGTATAAATGAAATAACGAGGTCGAGAGTAGCGTTGACTTCGTTATTTCACTCGACTGTCCAGAAACTGGTCATTTCACAGATGATTATAATAGTTACGTAACCCTCAATTTTTAATAAAATGTCACTATGGATTTTAAATCGACCTCGAAAAGAAGGAAAAAGGTTCCCCACCATTTAAAACATTGTTTTAGGGTTCTGTATTAAAAAAGTACAAGACATGATGCGATTGTCTGTTCGTCTGTCACAGCGCTATATCTTAGTAGCTATTAGTACTATAGATTTGAAATTTGGATTAGTTTTACATAGTGTGTATTGGTCTACACGTATAGTAATGTAAATAATTGAAAAAATATCTTTATTATCGTTGTTAAGTATACAAAATCTTGGAGTTGACCTTCTAGTCCAAATAGCGTCACATAAGAAATATCATAGGAAAGGGCTTAATTTTGTATATTTACAAATTTGAAACCCTAAAATAATAAATCGTAAAGGTATATGTTAAAATAAATAAAACCAAATTTCCAATTAGCTCAGTTTCCGAGAACTTATCAAAAGAATAGAAGTATTTCTATTTTACAGTAATGTAAATAAACAATACGGTATTTGTGTTTATATATATATATATATATATATATATATATATATATATGATGTAGTGGTGGTTCTTAGAGGGAATGATAACCCCGCTTGCATTATGAGCATGCATTTGTCTGTCTTTCTGGTAACCTTTGACAGGGTATACATATAAGTGATAACAAACCAGGTCCACACAATTACACCAATCACCTGGTATTCTAGCTTTTTTAATGGCTAAAAATGGAATGTTAACATTGCCTTCACTATCGATATACACTGGCAGGACACCAATGAGAGTTGATAAGTGAGAATGAAAGCAGGTCAGTTTGCCCATCGTGAAAAATTCCGTAAGGTTAACCATGATGGTTTCCAGGGGGAACCGTGTGGAGGTCGACCTAATAGGGTACATTGCTAGCAATGGGACTGTTAGATCTCATTACTAACAATCCCATTCCCCCCGGTACTCTACTTAGGATTCCATGTGTTATAAGGAACTAGACAACGAACATCTGGTCGCATAAATCAAAATAGATATTTAATGGTGTCACTAGAGCCCATTAGTACCTTCTCTTTAGTAATCTCATCTCTCCTATTAAAATATATTGAGTAGTGTTGTGCTCTAGGAGAAAACCAGACTGAAGGCAATTCAGTAGCGTAGAGATGTCTGCGATTTTGAAAAGAATTCATTCTATATTTTATTTTTAAAATTATTAAAGAATTTATACGAGACGGGAATCACGTGATCATTTAGATAAACTATGATAATTTATCTGTTTTTTTTTTTTTATTTAATGGGTGATAATAGAATGGTAACCCTGCCTGCGTTATCGATATACGCTAGCAGAGCAACAATGAGGGTGATAGGTGAGGATGAAAGCAAGTCAGTTAGCCCATCGTGACAAATTCCACCAGAATTAACAACGACGGAATTCCAGGTGGAACCGCGTGGAAGTCGACCTGATAGGGTGTTTTGCTAGCAATGGGGCAGTTAGATCCCGGTACTAACAATCCATTCTCCCCCTGCTCCATTTATCTGTGTTATCTCGACGTTTCGACCTGGCAAGCAGTAATATAAAAAACAATACCTGGCTTATAGTGTGCAGTCGGTAAATGCATCGAATAAAGACACGGTTAGTGTATTAAGCATTTAGTAGCTTATGTAATTCATCTTTATAAATGAGAACATTATAATATGAACATAGAAAGCTTATATAATTTATTATGTCATATCTCTTGTTATTGATGTAAATACAATGTATTAATTTTGTTGCTTATTTAAAATATGATAGTGTCTAAGGATAGCATATTTGCCTAGAAATGATATTAAATAAATAGTATTAATACCTAGCTTCATAATTAATAATGCATATGCTGTATCTATTTATTTTATTATCAATAATATCTAGCCAACAATTGAAAATGGCGGGTTAAAGTACGAGTATATGCGCAGACCTTAATGTAAATTTTATATACTACGTCTATGCCACGTGGGAAAAGACATCTTATCAATTAAATTCTGCCTCACAGACATGTCTACCTAATTGGGTATATGGTGCTGGCTCCAATCTGATCATGTCAAGTTACTTGAGTGAGTCGAATTAGTAAGTTCAGCAAGTAATACGAACTTGTGTTCAAGTGTCGGGTGACTCGGCCATATTCGTTTACTCTTCGTTTACTTAGAAAGAGATGAATACTTATCTATCTCAGTCTCGTCGAGTAAAATCAGCAACAAGACTTGCTTTCTGTCACGTCACGAACGTAATCGGAGGAAATCATGTGTTGTTAAGTGGTTTAGCAGAGTAGTGTCATTAGTGCTACGCAATATCGTGTAACGTCTTAGGTTTACAATAATTTGAAGTACCATTCTTTATTTTGTAACTTAGATAAAAGTGTTTACGGTTTATTTTAATTGTTTGCGTAAAACAGTATAACCTCCAAAATGTCAGACAGTACGCAGGATATCCTGAAGGATACGACCACGGCCGCCGCGGCCGCCGCTAGTGCTGGTGCCTCGCTATTTAGCACTTTCGATATAATCATGCTCGTCGTGTTACTAGGAGCAGCTGTTTGGTGGTTGTACAGTTCAAGAAAAGAAAACAAAAAAGATGAAATAGTTCTTAGTAAATATTCAATCCAGTAAGTACATAGGTTATTTTTTTGTGACTGAACTAATATTGATAACTTATCTGAATATTATAATGTATATGTATGTGTTGTATAAATGAAATAATGACAATGTCGCTAATAGGAAACTTTAGCAAGTAGGTATCTAAATAAGTAAGCATATTATTATACAGGTGCACGATATATTATAAACTTAATATTAATTTTATTCATTTGTTTTTAGAAATAAGAATGCAGTTATTATTTTTTCTAAATAATTTTGTTTTTTTTAATACTTAGAATTTTATAAAACCTTATTTGAGCCGGAATGAGAATCAATTAATAATGCGAAATAAACATTTCTTGCTTTTATTTAACTACCGAAGAAAGAAGCAAAAACACTACGTTTTCGTTTCAATTCGTTTCTAAGTGTAGGTATCTAAGTACCTGATTAGATACTTACTTTCTTCCTACAACTATTTTAATACATAAGACGTATTAGGTAAATACTTTAGTTCTCGAAAAATTATATAGAATTATTATTATAGCTACCATGTTCTCGGAAAATTGCTTCAATTAAACCAGTCCTCTAGTGCAAACGTTTGCCCAGAAGATTGGATCATTATTAGTTATTAGTATTAGTACTAACATAGTTCTTAAGTATACATACTGATAAAAATGCGACTTAAATTTGTCTGAAAAGAATAATAAAAAAAAAATATTTAATAAATAACAAACTATAAACATAATTTTTTACCCAATTTTACTCAACCTAGTATAGTTTTTCAAAGTTTAAACATATCTTGGATTACAATCTAAGAAAACTAAAAAAAAAAATGATAAAATATTAATATCATCGAACGAGCATATCCAGTGAAGTAATAGTTCGATTAGGTATATTAATTTGCAATTATGTAATAAATTGTCAAGTGTTTAATGATTGTCTAAAAATGTTAAAAAAAAATCAATTATATTTTTCGATATAAAGAGTCACACCGTATTTGTATACCATAGAATCCTAAAGCTTGAGAAAGTATTAAAAAAAATCTAAAAACGAATACTTTTTGTTATGCAAATGTTATAGCGACTAATCATCTCTACCTGCGGTCATAGCGCAGATGTAAGATCATAACAAATCACATCAATGAGTGATGTTGTATAGACACGTCTGTATTAAAATATTTAAATTTAGAAAGCGGAATCGTGATTTAAGAACAATTGATTACCTACAATTGACATAGTCACGTGATTTTACTTAGCAACAAGTAGGAATTTGCTTCTTAAAATAAAACAGCAGCTTCAATCATCACAAATTTAATGACTCAGGACTTTTTTAAATTATTGATATAGAAATAGTAACTATCCCTTTCAATATACGTTGGCGGGGCATCGGTGAGGGATGTTTGTTAAGGATTAAAATGTAAGTAAGGATGGGCCAGCTGGGCCCATCAGCAGCTGGGTCGTAACGAATTCGTCAAAAATTAACCATATTGGTCTACTGTACGGGGAATTGCGTGGAAGTCACTTTGACGCGGTCCCCGTTACTAATAACAATTCCTTCCTAGAATTGGAGAAACAATGGCGTATTATAAAATGAATTGAGAATTTTTTTCTTATATTAAAATATACGGATTATTCTTTCCACAATTGCTCTTTAATTTTTAATTATGTGAATATAATTTTTTATGTAAAATAATGTAAATAAATGCAATAGTACTTCTCAAGTTTGTATTTTTGTAATTAAAAGCAATAAGTAGGTGGGTGTTTTAAATTTCGAATTTACGAACGCATAAGAAAAAAGGTAGGCAATTGGTATTTATCTACATTTTGCATCGTGAAAAACGGAGACTATATAATTGCGACATTATAACCTACACCGATGAGGACGAATAGTTTTATTAAAAATGCGATTACGTCACTTTTAAACGTAGTTTTTTTATGACTTATCAACGCATGTATTTTTTGTTTGTAGAGTCTGTTAATTAAGGTAACCCATGCTTAAAAACTAGTGTTAGTACTCATTAATAGGGCCTCAGAATTTATTTTGAAAAATATTTATATTTCCAAAATAAAAAAAATCTAATTTTTCAAAAAGAACAACTCTATATGAATAACTGTATATAGATTAGTATAGATTAACAGCACTACCACAGCACAGAATACTCAGAAAGAAAAATACTAGGAATTATGTTGGAACAAGTACACTACTACAAGCAAGCGATATTTGTGTGCGTAAGGCTCTCTGCGTTCAACACATACACGCCGCATCGGAATAATCCAATGTACGCTGGCTCGAGGGCTACACGGTACACGTCTGTTTTAATAAAAATTAAAATGCACTGTGCAGTATGCAAAAATTTTTTTAACTATCCTAAAGACCTAATATTGATAATTCAAAAAGTAGGCTATAATTGGGTTATGATATACATACATCAAAAGTCTAAGCAATACATACTATTTCAAATTATTAATCAATTATTATATCATTTCTTACCAAGTAGCTAATACCTATGTAAACTTTTTTTTATCTAGAAGACCTATTTATTTATTTTTATTTATTTAACTCTTTATTGCACCATAAATAAAAATATACAATGACAAGTGAATAGTTCAAGTGAAATACAGTAACATAAATACAGATTGAAATATACACATAAAGGTACAAAAGTCGGTTTTATTGCTAGGGCAATCTCTTACAGACAACCTTTGGTTAAAGGAGAACAGATAAAAATGGGCAGGCGGCGCAAGAGTGAATTAGTGGCTGGTTGTAAAAAAAAATCGAATATCATTTGTTTTTTTTTTCATAAATTCAAAAGGGAATGCATTTGTTGGATTTTTATAGCGTTTTCTTTGCTTATTCAAGTTTAGTATCCTGTATCAATTTTATAATTTAAACAATAATTTGAAAAAAGTTTTGAACAAATTTGGATTTTGAGACCTTTTTTACGTCATGGAGCGACGTCATTTGAACGCAGATGAAATGCAAAGAGCTGTAGGGATGTTGCAAGCGGTAAGAAGTCAATCTCAGGTATCTCGGTATTTTAGTGTCAACAGAAGCGTTATTTGCCGTCTTCATCAGCGTTACACTAACACGGGAGATCCTACTGAGTAGCACCCAGGTCGAGGAAGGTGTATAACCATACAGCAAGATCGATACATGCAACTGATAGCAAGACGCCAGCCGATAATAACCGCCCGAGAGATAGGTTTAACGCTACAAAATTCAAGTGGTGTTGTTGTTAGCTGTCAAACTGTGCGAAATCGACTGCATGAGTATGGTCTACGAGTACGACGGCCAATTAGGTGCTCACCATCGTGACGTACGTCACGGTAATCGCGCTCGTCGAAATGAATGGTGTAGGGAACACATTGCATGGACCCGGGAACAATGGGATAAAATTTTATTTTGCGAAGAGTCTCGATTTGGGTTCAAGCCTGATACTAGAAGATCAAGAGTGTACTGTCGTCCTGGAAATACTGAAAGACAGTTATGGTATATGGTAATCATCTAGTATTAAAAAGGATACATTGGCTAATCGAGACAAGGTAGTACAATGGTAGAAATAGGTTTAGGAGAGCTTTGATTTTTTATGAATCTTTTGGTCAACTTGAAAGACAATACGTTAATACGTAATGAAATTGTATTTGCAGAAAGTTTATGAATAAGGAGTTAAATCGGAATCCTTAATCTACGTCTACTCTTTAGTTCAAATTTACATCTATGAATGTATCTAAATGTAATTAATAATAATGTAATTAAATTAATTAAATAAAAATACTAAATACTTTAGTAGATAAACTATGTAAATATCAACTGTATACACATAAACGTGGGTAGGTAGGTACATCCACGTAGTAAATTTGTCATAAGTTTTACGCGATCTAAATATACTTATGTACCTACTAATTTTAACTTGTAATAAATATATTGTAATATTATAATACACTAACATTATATTATACATATTAACATGATATTAACAAATAATATTTACCTACTGGGGTCTTTAGGATAGTTAAAAAAAGATATATTTTTTTAACTATCCTAAGTTTTTACATACTATATGTTTTAATAAAAATAGAAATGCATTTAAATTTTTATTAAAACACGTGCGCAGCGTATCCATCGAGATGGCGTAAACCGAATTATTTCATCGCGGTGTGTATACGAAGAGCACCGAGAGTCGTATACACAAAAGTTTCACTTGCTTGTAGTGTTCTTGTCGAAACATACTTCCTACTATCTTTCTTTCTGGGTATTCTGGGTACTACATAATAAGAGGTATGTACCACAAAGACAATAAATTACTTGCGACGTCGTGGCTTTGCCCTTCGATTTACTGCATCCGCCTTTGTCGGATTTCCCCGCAACCCGCCACGCGCTTATGCATATCACTTAAGCACAGAATAGATATTATATCCAGAAGAAAAGCTCTTTTGATGTGCCGACAAATTTGTAAGAGTTGCCATAAGAGAGTTAATTTAATAAAAAAAAATATTTTTGACATTTTTTTATTTTTTATATCAGTAACCGCAAATTATCAGAAAACAAGAAACCTATATCGGAAAAATGAAAAGTTTGTAACCCTCCACCTTTTTTTTCAAAATTTTTTTTTTAATATCAACAACTTACAAGTCAAACCAACCTATTAGTCGTAAACAACACCCATATAGGAAAATGAATATTTTCGACATCCGCTTTATTCATCCAATTTTATCGAAAACAATACCTAAATCGATAAAATAAATATTTTTGATATGCGACAAAAAAGAAGATGGGTGGTGCCATCTTTTTTTTTCGTAACACAAAAACATGAATTTTGCAAGCCGATCCGCCTGATCTCATGGGGCATCTAAGTAGTAAAGTCTTGTGTTACACAAAATATTCCACAATTCTGTTTTTTGTTCCACAATTTTGAGGATTAATTTCTCAATCTAATCTTAGGAAGTTAGGTTTAGCTTTGTTGATTAAATTTGCAAATTTAAACATAACCCTTTTATTCATAAAAATATCAAAGGCTTTATGCCTATTT